TCCGTTGTTGGGGCTGATAAGTATGTAATCCATATGGCAGGCCTGTAGGCTACAAATTCAGGTTAAGAGTTGACGTTCCAGTCTCGTGGGGCAACAGGCTAGAAACTCAGCCAGAGTTTCTATGGTGAAGTCTTGGGGAGAGTGCTTCCTGGGGAAAGCTCAGTCTTTGCTCTTAAAGCCTTCAGCTGACTGAATGAGGTCTAACAAAGATTCCTTGACCAAACTTTAGCCAGGCTCCTCTAAACTCTTCACAACGAGGCCCCGACTATTGAGTTTCTGTGCCTGTCTATGCATCGTTTGATTTTAGCAAGAAGCCTGTTAAGTCAGTTTAACCATAATCCCTCACCCTCAATATCCAATAACTGGTTCCTCACCCTCCACCCCACTCCCTCAGGCAATGTCTGATCACTCTTGCTTGCCTTCAGCAAGAGCCCTGTTAGGTCAGTTTAGCCAGAAGCCCCTCTTACCCCTAACGTTTCCTCTTGGTAATTTTCCATCCACTGACATGCTCCCTCCCCGAGCCTACTCCTGGGCTATAAACTCCCCCTTTTCTTCGTAATTGGAATTGAGCCCAATCTCTCTCCCCTACTACAGAACCTCATTGTAATAGACTCCCTAAATAAAACCGGCCTTACGGTTCTTTGATGAGTGTCAGGAATAATTTTTCTTTAACTGGCCCATCCACATTATGGAGGGTAATCTGCTTTACTTAAAGTTGACTAATAGAAAAGTTACTTAGATCTAAAAAATGCCTGCACAGCAGCATCTAGAGGGGTATTTGACCAAACAATTGGACACCATAGCCTAGCCAAGTTGACAGATAAAACTAACCATCACAGCTGGTATAGTGTAACACTATTTTATTTTGCACTTCAACCTTGTATCCTACAACTGTATTATATTAACTAATGATTTATTCACAGGTTTTTCTTTTTAAATTTTCTAACTGTCCAAACATGTCTCCAGGAGGTAATGATAATTTTATTCTTTCTTTCCAAGACTGGTGCCTTTTATTTCCCATTCATGCGTGTTTCTCCTGGGTAAGATCCCCATGAAAACGTCAAGTTGAAGTGATGACGGAATGCATTCTTGGTGCATTCTCAAATTCCAGGGAAATCTTCAACATTTTACTATTAAGTATGGTATTTGCTGGGTTTTTTTTTTTTTTTGGTAGATTTGTCATATTAAGAAGATATTTTCTATTTCTAGTTTAAGATGTTTTTGAAAGTCATTACTACCTGTTAAATTTATCAAATAGTTTTCTGTATCTACTGAGACGATCAATAGTTTTCATCCTTTATTTAGTTAATGTGAAGAATTACATTAGTTTTTTTCAAATTTAAACAATTCTTGCATTCCTGTGTTAAATCCAATTCCGTGAGTTGTATCTTTCTCTCTCCAAACACACACGCATACTCACATACACACCACACACACACCACTTGGATTTGATTTTGTTTAGATTTTTGTATCTAACTTTATGAGTGAGTTTGACCTGTAATTTCTATATCCTGCAATGTCTTTCCCTGGTTTTGATATTAGGATTAAGCTGGCCTCCTAATATAAGGTGTAAAGTGTTCAGTTCCTCTTTTTAAATAAATTTTTTGGAAGAGTTGGGTAAAATTGGCAATATTTCTTCCTTAAATGGTAGGTAGAATTCACTATCTGGGTTCTTACTTGTGGGAAAACTTTTCATAATGAATTTATTTACTAAAAGGAGGACTGATCAACTCTTTATTCAATTTTAATAATTTATATTTTCCTAGGAATTTGCCTATTTTATCTAAAGTTTTAAATTCATTGTCACAAAATTGCTTATGCTGTTATCAAGATCTTGATCTTTTTAACGTGACTAGAATCTGCAATGGTATCTTTTTTATTCCTCATGTTGTCCCTTCTTTTGTTCTCGACTATTCTTGCTACTAACATCAATTTTATGAGTGTGTTAAAATGTCTTGTGTTTTGAATAATTTGACCATTTTATATTGTTGAATTTATTGGAATAATGTCTTATTAATTTTTAATAATTGTAGCATATATAATGTTGTTCTCACTTCTAAAATGCCTATAGTCAATTTTGGTACAGGTTTATCAATATTATTGTTTTTTTAAAGGATCAACATTTGGATTTGCTGATCTATAAGTAAGCTTCCTTTCTATTTCATTCATTTCTGTCATGTTTTTTTTGCTTCCCTTTTTCCTTATCTTTAATTTACTTTTCTAACTTCTTGAGAACTTAGATGTTCATTAATTTTCAGCCTTTTTTTCGGTAATACATGAATTTAAAGATATAAACTACCCTTAATGCATGGTTTAAGTTATCTCTCACAGTTTCGCTACGCTGCATTTTCATTGCCATTAAATTAAAATTATTTCGTTTCTATTGTGATTGCTTTCTTGAATCATAGGCTATTTGGAAGTTACATTAGGTTCTAATATGGTAATTTTTAATTATCATTATTATTGCTGCTATTCATTGATAATCTCATTACACTGTGGGTGGAGTATTTGTTGTTATTCCTAGATTCTTTGAAATTTGTTGATAATTGCTTTACAGCTTAATACATGATCAGTTTTTCTCAGTGCTCCATGTGCATAGTGTAGCTGCCAGGTGCAGCATTTCACTTGTGCAATTTAGGTCAATTTTGCTAATAATTTGAAAAAATTGATCTACATTCTTAGTGATTTTATCTTCTGATCTTATCAGTTACTACGAGAGCTGTGTTAAACATTTCCCCGCTCTGAATTTAGCTTGTTTTTCTCACTTTAGTTCTGTCAGTTTTTAAAGAACAGGTTGAAACTATATTGTTAGAGGATTATATCCATCATTTTAATCACTATTGCTTTCATAGTTATATTCTCTTTATGTTTCTAAGATTTGGCTGTCCATAAAACAGACTTACTGCTCAATTCAGTTAAGCATGCATTGAATAATAGGTTAAAGACTAGTAAATTCCCTCAGAACAAACTGTTTTGCATATATAGACATTATTAATAATGGAATGTTTTTGTAATTTTTAAGGTAAATTGTAAAGAACTCATCTGAAAAGAGTGCCATTATACGCATTCAACAGGTATTACAAAACTATTATGAAAACAAGCTCTTTAGAGTTTATATTTTTTCACTTTTATTAATAACTCAATCTTTCCAGAAAGTTCTCCACTTTTAAAGTATTCTAATATCCAAAGTTTAGCTTTATTATTTCTCTATATCACATATTTCACTATTTCATTATTTGCTCTTGTTAAAAATTTTTTCTAGGGGCAGGACCGGTGGTGAAGCAGTTAAGTTCTCACTTTCCACTTTGGCGGCCAGGGATTCACCGGTTCAGATCCCGGGTGTGGACGTACGTACCACTTGCCAAGCCATGCTGTGGCAGGCATCCAACATACAAAGTAGAGGAAGATGGGCATGGATGTTAGCTCAGGGCCAGTCTTCCTTGGCAAAAAGAGGAGGATTAGCAGCAGATGTTAGCTCAGGGCTAATCTTGCTCAAAAAAAAATTTTTTTTTCTACTTCTTTGGATATATTCATTTTCCACCTTGTTTTAGCCTTTCTTCTGTTTTAATATAAGACTGTATGATTATACATTTCCATCTATGTTCTAAATACTAACATAATGAGAGCTTTCATTTCTAAATTATTTTCTTAATCTGCCTCGTTACTTTTAATAATTTCTTGTTTTTTCATTTTCCTCTTAATTCCTTTTATTTCTTAAATGTTTTAAATATACTTATTTTACTTTGTTTTTGAGAATTCCGTATATTCAGGCTTTGGGTATGCAAGTCCTGCAGATACTACTTTAACAATTCTTTCACTATCTTGTTTTCACACCCACTCCCATTTAAGATGGCTAGTTTTCTCAGGATGACTCACCCAGATGATATGAATCCTTCCTTGTCTGAATTCATGCGTGAATTTTTGCTATAAGTTTTCCTGAAGAGCTTTAACAATTTATTTTCAAATCTCCAGAAAATTAGAGACAGTCAAGTTTCCTCAGTTTCCCTCTCTCTGTAGAAGAAATTTTTCCCCCAGTTCTCCCATTGAGAGCGTGGCCCTTCCAGGTTTCCCGCTATACCTGTGTGTGCGAGGGGTGATGGATGGGGCGGGGGAAGGCGTGGGGTCACCAATCTAGTCACTCATCCTATTCGGTCTCAGCCTCTGTCTTAGTTCCCTTGTGTCTGTAACATCACATGATCTAGAACCTTGCTACCAAAACTGTGGTCCTGAGACGAGCAACATCAGCATCACCTGGGGATTCCGCTAGAAATGCAAAATCTTAGGCACTGACTCCAACAGTTGTCCTTGTGCATTTTTCTCAATTTTCTTTTGGCTTCCTTTCCTGTCCTACCAGCTGCATACTCACATACACTTGTCTCCTATGTACAATAAGAAGTTAAAACATAATTTCTGGAGCAACCGGCTGAGCCGTTTAAATCACAAAAATAACGCAACGACGCCAACATCGGTTCTCGAGATGCAGGGAACCGGGTGCTGGGACCGGCTCCCGCCCGCGGCTGCCTGGTCCATTACAAACCACCCAATACATCCGTGAGGATGAAAGCAATTCGTGCTACAGCGCCTCTGCCAGTTTCCTCTCAACTCCCCATCCGTCCTCTCCTCTGCCTTCAATCACCACCAAACCACCGCGAAAACCCGGACTAACGGACTCGGGGCGTAGCTGGGCTCCCCGACGGAGCAGGGAGAACCGACGGAGCATGCGTGAAGCGGAGTGCGCGCACATGCGCAGTGGCCGGCGCAGGGCCGCGCGCCCGTCTCCCCGGGTGGCTGCGAGGCTGCGCGCGCGGGTGACGTGTGCGGCGGCGGCCGAGGCGGCGAGGCGCCGGGAGGGGAAGGAGCGGCCGGGGGGGGGGGGGGGGGGGGGGGGTGGGGGGGGGGGGGGGGGGGGGGGGGGGGGGGGGGGGGGGGGGGGGGGGGGGGGGGGGGGGGGGGGGGGGGGGGGGGGGGGGGGGGGGGGGGGGGGAGGGGGGGGGGGGGGGGGGGGGGGGGGGAGGGGGCTGAACCCGGAAGTGGGTAGGCGCTGGAGCGAGCGCGCCCAGAGTGGAGCTCAGCGGCTGGGAGCCAGCGGGGGAGCCCTGGGTTCCCGGTAATGGATCTGTGGGGCGTCCGCCCAGGGAGACCGGGGTGGGAAGGGGAGCGGGCCCGCCGTGGCCGAGCGCATTCTCCGCCCTGGCAGGGCCTGGCAAGGCTCCTCTGCCTCCGTTAGCCGTCCCTCTGGTTGACCCTGCTCCGCCTGCCCTGCGCCCCTCCTGGGGCCGTGTCCTGTCGGGTGGCCTCGGCCGGGGGATCCCCTCGGTCCCCAAAGAGGTGTGCCTGGCCGCCCTGGAAAAGCATGTTAATGGAGAGACTTGGATTTCGCGGCCGCGCTGGCCTTATTGTCACCATCCCAGCGCCCCTAAACCACCCATGTCGCCCTCCTCGACCTGCACCCTCAAAGATCTAGAAGGGGTCCCTCTCTCTTCTGCCCTCCCTTTATCCACCCTGTTTCTGGATCAGCCTTGAAAGGTGTTGTCTAGCTTCCTTTAAAATTATTCTTTTGTTGGCTGTCTTTTCCAACCCGGCCGTCCTTGTTCCCCGCCCTAAAAATCTTAGCCACAAATGGGTGGAAGCCGTGCCTTGATCATAATTTAGTTCGAATTCAGAAAAGATTCGTGGAAATGCCGTGAAGGATTTAGGATTGCTTTGCCGTGGAGTTATTTTACGTGGTTCTTCCTCTCTTGCAGACCATGACACCCTCGGGCACACCCCTCCAGAAGCTGTTATCCAAGACAATCTAGTTTTTTTCTTTTTCTTTTTTTACAATAAATCCCTCAAGACACTTATGAAGCTTCTTGTTCTGAAATTGTTGTACTGCAATGAAGAAAAGGAGAAAGGTTACTTCAGATCTTGACGAGAAGATCCATCTAGGCTATCGTAAAGATTCTGCAGAAGGCAATGTGGCAGTGGAGTGTGACCAAGTAGCCTATGCTCATCCCACAGAAAGACCAACTCCTGAAGCTCTTCACTGTTATCAGGAACTTCCTCCCTCTCCAGATCAGAGAAAACTTTTGAGTTCTTTGCAGTATAATAAGAATTTGCTAAAGTATTTAAATGATGACAGGCAGAAGCAGCCGTCTTTCTGTGACTTGCTTATCATAGTAGAAGGAAAAGAATTTAGTGCACACAAAGTTGTTGTTGCTGTTGGCAGTAGTTATTTTCATGCGTGTTTGAGCAAAAATCCAAGCACTGATGTTGTCACCCTGGATCACGTAACACACTCAGTTTTTCAGCATTTGCTTGAATTTCTTTACACATCAGAATTTTTTGTGTACAAGTATGAAATACCTCTTGTTTTAGAGGCTGCAAAATTTCTGGACATTATAGATGCAGTTAAGCTGCTGAATACTGAAAATGTTGCCACTTTTCAGTCTGAGCTAACTGAAAAGTCATCACCAGAAGAAACACTAAATGAACTAACTGGAAGACTCTCAAATAATCATCAGTGTAAATTCTGTAGTAGACATTTTTGTTATAAAAAGTCTTTGGAGAATCATTTGGCTAAAACCCACAGGTCCCTTTTGTTAGGGAAAAAACATGGGTTAAAAATGCTGGAGAGAAGTTTTTCCACAAGAAGATCAAAAAGGAATCGGAAGTGCCCTGTTAAGTTTGATGACACCAGTGATGACGAACCGGAAAGTGGTGATGGGTCAGACAATTTGAATCAAGACAATTTCGAAAAGGAAAAGTCAGATAGAAATGATTCTGAGGATCCTGGAAGTGAATATAATGCTGAAGAAGAGGAGCTAGAGGAGGAGATGTCAGATGAATACTCTGACATTGAAGAGCAAAGTGAAAAAGATAATAATGAGGCAGAAGAGGAGCCTGAGGCTGGTGATTCCTTAGGAAATATTCATGAGGGGTTAACTCCTGTAGTCATTCAGAACAGTAACAAAAAAATATTGCAGTGTCCTAAATGTGATAAAACTTTTGACCGAATAGGTAAGAAAAGAAAGCTGCTTTTCTGTCTTGTCATAACTTAACTTTTCATGGATATTTTAAGGTGATAACTAAAAACTAAGCTTTGAAATTAACTTTTAAAAAGAATACTTAAGTAGGATGGATATTTGATTTTCAATACATACTTTACCCTGTTATTTTAAATTTGTTGTGATTCAAGAATTAATTTCAGTATTTATATTAGCCTTTACTTTCTCTTCCTCTTGCCCCAACAGGAGGTGACAGTTCATTAGTTCATGTATTTGGTATAAAAAGCTCCAAAGTATCAAGAATTATGAACGTAGAGCTTTGATTTATATGCTAATTTAATTTCATAGATAAGGGCTATTTTTGAGTCATAGAAAGTTGAATTAGATTATATCAGATTGTTTGCTATTTCCCCTTGAAGATGGTAGTATGTGAGTTAGAAATATAGTCACTTTTCCCGTATCTGGTACTTTTTAGAATTGGGATGTCTCAGACTAGACTGATAGTTAAGAATAAAACTGTACTGAATGCAATTTAATTCTGTAGGTAGAGACTTTAGGAAATGTCTTAATTAGTAGTATTCCTTGGTTATGATAATAGTGAATAAATCAGCTTTTCCTTTGTGGGAAAAGTCTATGTAGGAAATGCGGTGTATAACCTTAAGTTAAAAATATGTCAGTGAACATTAATTTTAAGAGATCTAATATTTGCTAATAAAATACTTTTTGGAGGTGTCTTAAATGAACAGTTCTAATGTGAACTTTCAAATTGTAACAATGATTCGATTTCCTTATAAGTTAAAGTTAAGGAATTGTGAAATGCATTCTACCACCTATAATGATAATGGGAACATGTAAGTGCAATTCGACCTTGTGAAATTACTGGTACAGTTTGCCATATCCCCGAGTTTCTTGCAATTTTGAGTTACATGTGTAACTGATATAGGTGGAAATTGGTTTTATAAGGTATTGGTAATCATTTGCTCTCAAAATATGTGACAGTATGCACTATGGCATAACCGTGGTAACCTGTTTTTGCTTTTTATTACGCCTTTGAATATTTTTCTCTCTAAATAGGAATACTTTTGACAATCGAATTTAATAATTATTTATTACTGTTTTTACTGTGTTTGAGGCTCTGTACAACCTTGAATAAAATAACTTCTCTTGAGTAACTCAATTGGAAGCGCATACAAATACAAGTGACTTGTTAAACTCAGGCTAGATAAGTGCTCTTGTAGAGCTGTGAACAAGTGCTATGAGGGGTATACGGGGAGAAAACGACGTTTTTGGGGTGAGATATCTGGAACTATTTTATCTTTCCAATAGATTCTGCTTCTTAGACTTTGTATTCTTAGCACATATTCCTTGTATTCTGCCTTAATTTTACCTAATTTGACTTGAGATGAGCGAGCAGGGGCCAGTTCATAAATGGCGTTGAAGGCCCGGCACATAGATCTCTAACTGTTCTGTTGAACTCTGGGTGTGTGAGAGAGGGGTTCTATGTTTGAGTAAGATTGGTGAAACTGTATACTGTAATTCACAGTCGGTATTAACTCTGTCAAATTCTCTACTAAAGAAACCTGCTAATTTTACTTAACCTGGCATTTCCTCTAATTATTGTACCACAGGACACTTTTGGGATATTTCTTTCATTATCCCAAGAAACTAGAGTTCTTTTGCTTACAATTTGGGAAAATACTGCTCAAGATTAAGGTTCTGATATTCTAAGAGGAAGGTGTTTTGCAGCTTTTTTAACCAAGGGAGGCCCAGATAGTTGTGGGAATCAATAGGTCACATTGTAGGCAAATTTCCAGCCTACCTTTCTGAATGTATTTACATTACACTCCTCTTTTCTCCACTCCCCGCTTTTGCATAGCCTCATTGGGACTGCTTACGTTTCCCCAGTTTTTAGAGCAAGAGATTGAGATTGAGATTATGTCATTCTGGCTTAAAAAGCACGAGCTGTGGTGATGTCAGACAGCCTGCATTTTTGAATCCAGGTCTTGGGCAAGTTACTTAACCTGTCTGTGCTTTTGTTTGCTCTTAACATAGAGTGGGATGATGCTAATAGGATGCTAATAATACCTTCTTATGAGGGTTATTAGGAGAATTAAATGAGATAGTCCTTGTGAATCACTTAAGATATTTTATGGAACTTAGAAGGTGTTCAAAGAATGCTAGCTCCTCTTATTATTCATTAATCTAATATAGTTATTAAGTGTCTTTAATATGCCAAATACTGCTAAACAGATATGAATTGATAGATCATCTGTCCTCAAGAATCTTAGAGTTTAATGAGTACATGTAAAAACACAATCATATTGCAATAAAGATAATCTTATCAGGGTAAGTACAGAGGACTGAAGGAATCAGGAAAGATTTCACAGAGCAGATAGTGTTTGAGCTGAGACCTGAAGAATAGGGAGGAATTTACAAGGTAGAGGGACCAACGTGTGCAAAGACGTTGAGGTGTGTTGTGTTCTGGAAATTGCTGGGGAGTGGGTGCTTTCAAGGTGGACAAGGAGGCATAATGGACAAGACAGATGAGAATTGGCAAGTAAATTTTGAATGGTTTTTATGCTATACAGAAGAGTTTACATTTTATCCTGTAAGTGATAGAAACTTGAAAAAACTTTGACAAAGCAAGTGACAGTCTATGGAAGTTTTACAAAGATCATGCTGGCTTCAGTGTGGAGAGGGAAATTGGAAAGGACCATAAGGATATTGCAGACTATGAAGATGGGAATTGGGAACGGGATGTGGAATGAGGGTAGTACAGAGAGTTGTGCTGAGTATAGGCTAAGTGGACTGGTGATGGCTAGAACGAAACTATGTAGAAGGAGAGGACCTATGTTTCTTAAATGTGTTCCTTTATCATCTCTATCAGAAGTCCTATTTATTCTTCAAAACAACAGTGCAAGGGCCATTTCCCAATAATCCTTCTCATATTACCCACATTCCTTTCACAGGATTTAGAAATGTCCACCTAGGCTTTTGGTTGTTATTTATCTATCTCATTAGATTGTGAGCCTGAAAGCGTTATATCTTACTTTTGGTTAGTATCCTTTGTGATACTCCAGGTCATTTCAAATAAGTTTTCAGTAAGCTCTTGTTTAATTGAACTAGGCTGAAAGGTTGATGCCTGACTTTACTTTGGACTTGTAAACAGCCAGTTAGGTTTCCTTATAAACTTCCAACATTTCTGTCTCAGAGTGGGTTTATGAGAGAGAATGAATAAGCTGAGACCTTCTGCTGGAAGCATTAACTCCACAGTATGTAGTGGACTAATCTGATTCCATTACTTTGGGTCTGTTATCCTTTCTGATATATTTAGGAGTTGCTTGGAGTAAGACTCCTGATCCAGTTATATTTTTCCTTAGGCTACCAGCTGGCCTGTTCTCATGCAAATGAGAGTCCTTTGACCTTTTCCCCTTAAACCAAAAACCTAGTGGGTGAAAAGGCAAAAATAGGGAGAAGATGACAGATGGAGTGAGAGAGAAAATTTGGATAATTTATCTTTTTTATTGTTCCTACTAGGAACTAAAATCTTTCCTTGGATTAAATTTACAGTCTCTTCTAGAGGTAGAAAATGTTTTATAGCTTTTTGAAAAGATGTGACTCAGACCATCCTGACAGAGATTGCACTTGGTTCTTAATAGAGAAGCATTATAATAGTGGCACAATTCTCTACTTTAAGGTTAGATATTTTAGTATTCTTTAGGGTATGTCCTATGAATAAATTCAAGGTGTAATGTAAGATTTAGCAACATCAGATACATAATGAGCTAATTTGTGGATGTTTCTCTTTGTAAAAACTGCATCCAAAATCTGATTATGGTAATTTTTCATGACCCATATAGGGGAATAATAAATTCTGAAGCACAAGGTAACGTTTTTTCATGTGAAAATATCTTTAGTTTGTTTCTCCTGATTTAGGACACAATTTATATTGGATTTCAGTTCAGAAAAATACTGTGGACGAAATTTCTTAATATTATGTATTTTCCGTTGGTGATCAAGAATAGTTGGGCGTAGTTTAGTATTCTCTGAAGGAATACTCTTTTTTGATTGAAAATTTGTTTGAAATGAACATTTTGATATATTATTGACTTCTCTTCACTCCGTAGAAAAAGAAGAAATAGATGTAGATGTTGACTGTGTTTGTACTGAGGAGTAGCCCCCACACCCCTACCGTTTGACTTAAATGTGGGAGTTCTTTGCAAATTAAAATTAAAATTTGCATTAATAAGAAGAAAGCTTTTTCACTGTAGAGATTCTTCATGTCATAGTGGATTATTCAAATTTATATATTTTCATTGGTCTCTTTGGACTTTGCTGAATTTATTTAAATCATTTTTTAAAAATTTTGGCTGTCTCAGTTTAAATTTCCAAACTTTCTGTTTTCTTTTTCATGGTTAAGTCTGGCTAAGTCTACTAGTCTGCAGGAAAATGGAAGTTAATAGTTAAAAGTGGCTTTGACTTTTAATTTAACTGCCATTTTATTGGTTTTAATATTCAACTACATGTAACCTACTTTTTATTTGCAAGTAAGAAAGAATTTCTTGCCTTTAAATACAGGGAAAATGTAACTAATTATTAATTGAACATCCTTCCAGCAAAGGCGTTTTCATAGAAAATAAAGATTTGGTGAAAAATTTTTCGTATACTTTGAGATTTTTATTAAGTTGCTGTTCCTGTTCACTTGGGTATAAAAATGAGGAGATTTAAGCATTTGAGGCTTGATAAGTTATCTTTCAGTCTTGAGAATCTGTGTGAAACATGCATGGTCAATCCCCAGTTAGGAATGGACCTATTCCAGAAATCACTTATAAGTTAGTCATTTAAAAATTGAATAGTGTACTCTTGATTTGTTTACTTTTTTTTTTTTTACCACAGGTAGGTATCATCTACATAATTTAAAAAGCAAGTTTTAAAAAAACGAAAAAAATCTTTTTTTTAAATTCTATACAGTGTCCTCTATCTTTTCCAAATTAAAATTGAAGAATATTAATAGATATTGATAATGTTTGGATTCTGTAGCTTCTCTCATATCTCATGTGTAACAAATGTTAAGGTATCCAAAACAAGTATGCCATGTTATAATAATAAAGAATAAAATCAACTCAGAAAACATTTTCCCCAAGAAATTACATTATACCAGTAGTGTTCTGGTTATACCCTGCAAAAAGTAATGTAAATCCGTGTTTTTCCAATTTTTTTGGATGGTTCAAGGTCAGCAATATGTTATTATGAATATACATACTTATACCTGTGTGCTCATACATAAATCGAAGCAAAAAAGTTGTATGAAACTAGTGTGAATGCTCTGTTTTCTACTCTATTCTATTCGTTTTTTCCTCCCAATGCTAGTCACAACCCAAGGAACTGATTTCATGAACACTGATGACCTTAGTTTGTCAAACACTGATCTAAACCATAATGTAGTGCACTCTTGTTTTACAGAACCTATTTATTATTTGTGATGTCTGTAAAAAGTCATTCCAGGTTTCACCTTGGGATGCACAGGAACACCTTTCGCCCAATAAAGTCCTGTATTAGAGCTCATCCCTTGAGCACAGCAGGGGCAGTGGTGGTGGTAGGGTGTGTATGTATGTGTAAGTGAAGCGTACGCCCCAGTAGTGACGGAGGAAGAACTGAGATACGAGGCAGTTTTAGCAGTGGCCAGGAGAGAAGGCGAAGTGCTTCCAGTGTTGTGAGACAGCTGAAACCTCAGTTTGAGCTGTTATAACATATACTCATAAATCAGCTGTATCCATATTTATATTTGAGATGTCCCTACACGTCCATACTGTGACTTGTAATCTATATAATAGTAATAATGACTAATATTTTAGTGCTTACTATGTGCTGGGATGTTTTAAGTGTTGTGAATATATTTACTCGTTCACTTCTCACAACCTCATGAAGTGTTAATCAGTGTTGGTAGAGAGAGGTTAAATTATTAGCTTAATTAAGATCACACAACTAATTTAGCACGTGCCCAAGCATTGACTGAGTTTTCTGACTATATGCAGGTAAAAAAGGCGTAGACCACTATCTGTATGGTCTGTATCTAAATACCTAATGGATTTTTCATTATACTTTTGTTTTTCTTTGCTTATGATTGTTATCTTCCCTACCTTAAGGAAAATACCTTGTTCCCTTTCCTCAGTATTCTTTATGTAAGTGCAATGTAATTAATTTTTAGATAATATTCTACATGTTCATTAAATTTAATCATATATAGGATACATAATAAATTGGTGAATTTATTTTATTAAGTAGACAAGTAATTATGATAACCTTTTTTTCTTCAGTGCCCTTGGAATACTTGTTTTTTTTCTGATTTCCATTATATATGTGTATATATGATGTATCTTTTTTTTTTTAAGTGTGTGACTGAAATGCTAGACTTTTGCATTAGCCTTCACCTGAAGAAAAATTTATGCATTTACTTTGCAGGACAAAGCAAAGCTAAACTGTTAATTGAAAATTGCTCTTCATATGGGTAGTATTTTTTCTTATTTTTATTGCCTGTTGCTTGAAAGTGTCCTTAATTGAAATTTCTACTTTCATCTGCTAGGTGTGCTCATTCACAGCTTTGATTACAGAGTAATAATAATAGCCAACATTAATTGGTAGCTTATAATGCCAGACACTGTTGTGAGTGCTTTATGTATATTCATTTATTCTTATGACAGTCCTCTGAGGTAAATATTATTCCATTTTTATTTTTATTTTATACATTTTTAATATTCGGTTATTATTTTTTCAGATGAGAAAGATTTGAGGCTTAAAAAAGGTTTTGTGTCCAAGGTCACATAGGCTGCCATTTAAAGCTGCAGTATTCATTTCCAGGTCATGGATCCAGGGTCAGAGCTCTGGCCTTCGATGCTGCTCTGCCTCTGTAACGTGGACATTTATATTCTAAATAATGATGTGAAAGAATTTTAGTCTGAGTAGGAATATAAGTAAAAAGTAAGCCACATGTATATTTTTCCTTCATTTTTTTATTGTAACTTTTCTCTTTGGAAAGTCTACATTGAAATTCTTGATTCTTTCTATAGGAAATACCTGTAATATTTGTATAGAACTCAGAGATGTATTCAAATTATAATACAAATTTCACATTAGTATGACTGCAGGTGTCTGCATATTATATCTGTTCATCTTACTGTTTTTCCACTTTCTCTGATATTGCCCGTGTATGTTGTTGGCTTCAGCAGTTTATTTGAAGCATGTAGTCAGGTACAGGCGATTTTCTTGTTTCCTAGTGTTTCTGAGTTGGAGGGGTCTCATATGAAAGGGCTGTGGTGAAGTTTAGGGTTTGTTGAGTATTCCAGAGTTGTAGTACCCTTTCCGGGTGACCTTTTGTGGGAAGAGAGATGAAAATATCATATATTATAAGATATATAAAATATCATTTTGCCTTTTTAGGATTTTTTAAAAGGACTGTCAGATCTGAAAATTCCTCTGTTTCATGCGTATACGTACTGAAAATGAAATGTGAAAATACTATATCTTAAATGATGAGTGGATCTTTTCCTGAAGGTCACTTTTAAACTAAAAGAATATATTTTAAAGTTTTTATTTAAGCTCAGAGAATTTGCCAACAGAATCTTAAGCAAATTTCCCCAAATTCTTGATTTTTAAAATGTTTAAATATGAATAAGTGGTTTTTTTAAATGACCCAGGTTTTTGAGGAAAGGGATACTTTGAGCAGTAAGCTCGCTCGGAGCAGTAAGTCTGTGAGGTTTATCAGAGATATATACTTAGGTAAACTTTTTTCTAGTTTCTGATGTGGGTGTGGGTACTAAATATGTTATTATTCATGAGATTTTATTCCACTGTCAAATTGCAGCCACTATGTGGTAAGTGTACTGAATTTAATTTTAATTTCTCTTTTTATAGGGAAATATGAGAGCCACACACGTGTTCACACAGGTGAGAAGCCCTTTGAGTGTGATATTTGTCACCAGCGCTATTCGACAAAGTCTAACCTAACTGTTCACAGAAAGAAGCACAGTAATGAAACAGAATTTCATAAGAAGGAGCACAAGTGCCCTTACTGTAATAAACTTCATGCAAGCAAGAAGACTTTAGCCAAGCATGTTAAGAGGCAAGTATTATCTTGCTTCCGTAATACACTTGATTGTGCCTTCTGATTTAAGTATGGAGTAAGCTGAAAACATCTATGGAGTGCTGCTCTCCAGTTCTTTCATCGCTTAACGTTTTGCAGACTGCAAATTTATTAAGAAAAGAGCGGCCAATGTTAGTTCATATTTTTTGTTAATGCTGTTGAGCTAAAGTTTTTTGATGTTGAAACCAGATCTGTAGTCTATACTATAGAGATTTAAGATAGAGCATTTTCATTATCCTGTTTTCTGTGTTGGGTTTGGGCAAGTATGTTTTCAAAATGTGGTGTTTTAGAACTCTAGGAGACTTACTTCTCATGCTCAGCTTTGTCTTTAGTGTATAAAAACTTGTGAGAGAGAGAATGCTTAGTACAGTTTGCATATTTAACTCTAAGAAATTAAATTTACTGAAATCTGAACTAAAAAAAGAATCAAGTGAATTACTTTAAGATTGATTATCTGTGAATAGCTAGGTTCCCGAATATATTTAGAATATGATTAGGCTTTTCTTTGACTATTTCTGCATAAATTTAGGCGTACGCATTCATTTATTAAAATGATAACGATACCTATAATAAAGTACTCACATGTGCCTGCCTCTTTAAGAAAAGCATCGGTGATTGGTTCTTATAATCGCTGTCAACAGATCCTATGGAATATTGACTTAACTACTGTAACTGTTCTCTGATAATCTTTTTATTTTTTTCTTACAGATTTCATCCTGAAAATGCACAAGAATTTATTTCCATTAAGAAGACTAAGAGTGAAAGTTGGAAATGTGATGTAAGAGCTTTTCATTTGCAGTAGAAAACCAAAATAAATGTAATGTTACGTTTTGGGAAGACAATTAGATTTTAAAGTAAAGTATACTATAAGTAATATAAACTTATCTCACTTTTAGATCTTTCTTTTATGCAAAGTTATCCTAATATTTTTGTAAATTGAGCCTGGTATGAGTTAGTTTTTAGGTTATGGACCTGAGAAATAAAAATTGTACTTTTTATTTCTATTATAATCAGTAAACCATATATTTACTGTGGCATTACTGTTGCACAGAGTATAAGATGTTAGAATTTTCCCTCCATTTCTGATTATCTGTTGCTACACACAAACACCTCAAAACTTAGTGACCTTAAACAACCGTTTTATTTTATCTTACCATTTTGTGGGTCAGTAATCTAAATTTGGGGCAGCGCTTTGCTAGGTAATTCTTCTGTTCCACATGGTTTCAGCTGAAGTCACTCAGTTGTTTTCAGCTGGTGGATGGTCTGATCTGGTCTGGTTTGTGGCCACTGTTAAAGCCGCGCACTCTCACGGCCAGCAACGTGGTGCTGACCAACAGCTAGTTGCTCAGCGAGGACAGGTGGCTGGGGGCCTTGATTCTTCTCCACTTTGGTCTCTTCCTCGGGCTCCTTGATCTTCCTTGTAGCATGGCATCTAGACTCCAAGAGTGAGTGCGTGTTCCAAGAAGCCTGGGTAAAAACTATAAGGCTTTTTACCGTCCAGCCTCCGAGGTCTCAGAGCATCACTTCCAACACTTTCTGTTGGTCAAACAAGTGACTACAGCCAGGGGAATTTAAGGAGTGGGGTATTAGTCTCTATTTTTCATTGGTAGGAGTAGCAAAGAATTTGTAGATATCTTTATTCTACCACTCTCCCTAAAGTACTTTTCCATTATTTAGGTAAATATTGTTTAAAGGAACCACCAGCTATCATTTTGTCTTCTTTACGCCCAGGCTTCAATTTATATATACAGCAAAGTTCTCACATTTCTCTGATTTTCACCTATAGGAATTGAAGTTAATTCTTAATTATTTGGATCTACATGAGTTGGTTTCTTCTCTTACTAAGTTTCATCATCCTTAGCTGTAAAATGATGATAATTATATCTACCTCATGGGATGATTGTGACAATTAAGTAAAATAATCTGTGGATTACTTAGCATTGTGCCTGGTATATAGTACATGCTATATTATGATCACTGTGCCGTTGTTATTAGAGCAGCCCCTCCTTCCCCTTTTTAAATCTGATGGCTGCCAAATTTCTTTAAAAAGCTATGTCTCTTCTTTCTGCCCACTTCAAGAAATAAATTTTAAAATGATTTTTCTGTAGTTTCGTACTCCTATTTCTAATCAAATATATGGCAATAATGGTAAAACCATTTATTCGGGACATATAAGTGGTTTAAAATATAAGTTTAATGGATTTAGAAATCTTGACTAGAATTAAGAATGTAAGATTACTCTCCAATCTTGGAAATTAGCCTATTAGAAATGTAAGGAGTGGAAATTTGTCTCCCTTTAGTACTAATTTAAATGATTCCTTACTGTAATTCATCCAAGGTGTTTTTCTGTACAGTTGGAATTTGATTATACTTTTGGTAAGTTTTCTGTTGGGAGAAATTTCTCTTTAGCTGCTTGAATTTATGTGTTTATTTCTCATCATGAGCTTTGTATTTTAATTTTTAATTCGGGTTCCCTTACATTTTATGTGCATTTTCTTTTAGATTTGTAAGAAATCTTTTACTCGAAGGCCCCACTTGGAGGAACACATGATTCTGCATTCTCAAGATAAACCTTTTAAGTGTACCTATTGTGAAGAACATTTCAAATCACGATTTGCACGGTTAAAGCATCAAGAAAAGTTCCATCTGGGTAAGCGAATTGCTTTTTCTAAAAGCAGCCGTGGCAATGACTGATTATCATGTCATGCTGGAGGAGCCTGCTGCTGTTGGACCACTTAGGAGAAGGAAGTCGTATAAATTGGGGGGAGTACTGGATCCGCTGCAGTTCCTAGAGATGAGTAAATGTGTGTGTTTAATTTTTTGCTGGCAGTGTGTCTGTGGTCATAAACTGCATTTATTCACAGATGGTTATTGGATATGTTTGTGAATTTTTAGGATAAGGCTTTTTGTTTTGGAAAAAACTCATTTTTCAGAGAGTGCAATAAATTTTAGTATATTTGGAGTTTAGTATTGTATTTGATGCATTCCCCTCTATAGCTTATGGCCAAGGTGGAGACTTGTGTCCTAGATGGTAGTACATGTAGGTACATTTATGACAATTAATCCCAATAATAAATTGTCACCCCAAGTGGAGGCCTTTTCCTTGCTGTCCTATTCAGTGTTTTTATTGAGAACTTGGATAAAAATAGATACTTGATGCTTATGAAGTTTGCAGATGACATAAAGCCGGCAGGGGTAGTTAATATAGCAGAAAATGAAAATGTAAAGAAAATCCCTGTGCTGTACAAAAGGTTAAAACAAATTAAGTTAAAGTTAATTAAGAATAAATACAAAGTCATAAACATGGGAATGATCTGAGTTTTAGTCGTTGGGGTTTGCAGAACTGAAAAATGCTGCAGAATCCAAACTCCTCATTCCACAGAGGTGCCGAGTGGCAGAAGCTTTTTAGGCGTGATCTGAACCACTAACGTCAGATGACTGACAAAAACCATTGTAGTCTTAAACTATATTAATAGAAATGTATTGTTCAGAGTTAGGGAGATAATCGTCTCACTGATTTTAAATTGATAGGGTTAGTATTTCCTCTCAGCATTTCTAAGATGCCATCACATGGAAATACATTTTGTGATGACTGGAACCGTGGTTGGAGACGTTTATGGTTGCATGTTGCATGTGTGAAGTTTCTTTAGGCATTAGTTCCAGGAAAAACAGTTTCTATTGGGGAATTGGTGGACTTCTTCCTTTTTGAAATGAGAACCATAGGTAATCTTTTTTTGTCCCACCTTGTAGAAACATCAGAGCCAAATCTAATAATTTTTATTATTAACATATTTGCTTCCACTTCCTTTTTCTGTTCTTGATATTCTATTTCAACTTTCATTAAATACATCAGTTGGTAAATAAATAGACATTCTAAGGACATTGAGTGGAAATTCTAAAGTATAGGTTTATTTTTAATTTAGAAAATTTTTTAAGTATTGGAACTTACAAATTGAAGTAACTTGTCTTGTACAGTAGTTACTTTCCTCCCAGTGAAAGTATACAAGCAGGTACTGAACTGATCAGAGGTTAGTGTTGTCGAAGAGAGCATTCCTGAAAAGGTGGTCAAACCAGGAGATTTTTATGATTTGTTGTTAAAGGATTATTTTTCTATCATGCTCCAGGGTTTCAATAAGGAGAAGTGTCTCAGAAATGCTAGGTAGTAAGATTTAGCTAACCTGCTAACTAAAGTTTACTGAAGCAAATACCCAAGGGAAGTACATTCACCATGCAAAGTAGTAAATATTTATTGAACAACTGTTAACTATATGATCAGCTCTGCGTTAGGATCTGGAGACACAATTCCTGCCAAATTAAATTACAGCCCCCTGGGTAATCAAACTAGTAAATAAATCATTACATTATAATGCTATGCCCACTCAGATATTTCACAAGTGATTAGATAGTTTGTATAATTTTTAATAAGAGTTGACATTTACTATGTTAGGTTGGCATTTACGGGAACTAAAGTTTAATAGGAGTGGCGTGATGTAGAACTGGAAGGTAGGAGACTTTATATCCAGGCTTGTTTTCCACGTCTGACTTCGCTGCTCACTGTGTGAGCTGGTGCAGCCTCGCAGAGTGCCAGCCTCGTTTATGAAACAGGGTTTTCACCTGCCTCCTAGACATTGTCATGAGGATTTAATGAGGTAATGCGTGTTGAGAGCCAAGGATAGAGCCAGGCCTGGTTTGCTTTGCTTTCTCTTTCTCTGAATATATTATCGTTTATAGTATTATAAGTATTAATTTTCAAACCTTTGAGAAATATGGTTTGTGAAATCAAACAGTAGCTTTCCATTTTTGGCCGTCATTATTTATGAAAAAAAATATACCAAATAGGATATACACACACACACTTAGATACTCAACTTTGCGTCCCATTTCTGTACTTCTCTTTCCTAGAATCACTGAATATTTTAGATAAGTGGTTCAAGTCTGGGGTGTGGTCCAAATATTTGCATTTCTAACAAGTTTCCAGGTGATGCTGGTGCTGATGGTCCAGATACCACACATCTGACACACCTGAGAATTACTGCTTTAGGTTATTCAAAGCCACATGTGTGCTCCCCACATTAGGGTTACGTATTCTGTAAATCAGAGGGAGAGATATCTGAGAAACACAATCTGAACACTTAGGGGAGAAGAATTTTTAATACAGCTCTATTTATAAGTGCAGAAGTTACAGTTTGGCTTTAAAAAGTCAGATCTTCTCATTCTGTCCTATCTAGAGTGTTGGCATGAAAATCAGCTTTAGTTTTAAGTTCCCAGCACAGCTTCATAAATAAAAGTTCAAAGAAGTTTGGCTGCATGCAAAACTGGATATCCAGTACAGAAAAAAAAACTATAGTTGGTATTTTCTTTGAAGAACCCTGATAAGTAACAACATGAAAGAGAATGCTCCTTTCTTCCTTCACCCAGCTGGAGTCTTCAGTAATACATACAGTTATTACTTTATAAAAAGTTTCACAGGTAGCGATTTCACTCTTCCCTAACACGCACTTCCCATAATAAGCACATCTTGGCACTTTTATTTGCTTCCTCTATTTTTTCAACTATGTAAATGTTGACTCTCGTTTTCCCAACTTCTTGGAGCCTCTTGCTAGGGGGAGGGATGTGAGAGGGAGTGGAGGAATTTTTCTTAGTGCTTTAGTAAACCTAGTGCTAGGTATGAATTAAGAATCAATCAATACTTGTTGAATGAGTTAAGGAATGAATAAAAGACTCAGATGCCAACAAAGATGAAATATTAGACATTTTAAATATGCTAAAGATAATACCATATACATTTTGAGGTCGTCTCTCATTTCTCATGTGCAAAAACATGTTGAAACTCCCCCAAAACTACTGTGGCTATGCACACTTTTGCTTGTAGACATTTTTCGGAATTCTAGTGTCCAAATGCCATTTTCTTTCCATTGTGCTATTATGATTAATTCTTCCTTAGAATTTTCTTCTTCGTTTTACTTTTCCTAATTCTGAGACATCTTCTTCCAGATACACAGCTCCCTTGACCTGCATATACTGTACTTCTTTTTCACACATCCTTCGTCTTCCTTTTAGTTCTCCATTCAGCAGGACTCTGTCTTCTTCTCTCCAGTTGTTGATTTGGTAAAATCGTGGTGAAATTGGGAATCCAGCTAGCGTCAATATTACTGTGAGAAATCTGGGTTTAATGTTGTAAGACTGAATAGAAATGGGCCACAATATTTTCAATCTGGTCAACATCATTCCAAGTTTGTGATTATAAGGAACAGCAATACATCTCCAAACCATGAGTTCTCTTAAGTCCTCTGTTTATTCTTCCACAGTTTCTCATTACCTCCTTTTCCCAGAAGTTTACTGTGTAACATTTTCTTCTTGTTTCAGTCTGATTTCAAACTAGGAATCGGCCATTTCAATTTGTTAACTCATTAGCTTATTCAGCATTTATTATATTAGATGCCAGGCCGTATACTCAGCTCTAGGAAAATAGAGATGATTGTAATCTGACATCTGGGAATAAACAATCTAGAAGGGAAGAGAAAACTAAAAATAAATAATTACATTGTGTTATGATATATGCACTAATGGTAGGAGGTATAAATTTATAACATAGCTACTAAATTTAATTTAGTATCTACTCTTTAAACTTTAGATGCACACTCTTCTTTCCTTTTAGGTCCTTTTCCATGTGATATATGTGGTCGTCAGTTTAATGACACTGGAAATTTGAAACGCCATATAGAATGTACCCATGGTGGGAAGAGAAAATGGACTTGCTTTATCTGTGGAAAATCCGTACGAGAAAGGTGAGGAATTATCTACACACCCAGAAAAATCCTGGTAGTGTGTGTAGAAATCATTAACAAATATAGTTTATAAGGATTAGGGTAATGCAAGACACAAGATACTTGAATCATGCTTTAATTTAAAATTTAAGGATAAAAGAAATTATGTAAGATGTTATTGAAGGTAATATGAAGTCAGGATTTGCAGGTTTAGATTTAATGTAGGTATCATTTTTTCTGTTTCTGAAACCTCACTATGGATACATTAAAGGTCGTTCATTTATTTTAAAGACAGTAAGCTACAGAGACGGGGGAACAGAAAGGTGACAAGAGCAGCACAGGTTTGGAAGCTAGAAAGCAGATGGATCAGTGGTAACTGACTTAGCAGATCTAAGAATGGCAGATCCCAAATTGGCAATGGAGAAATCAAGAACCTAGTTTACATCACAGAACCCACAAAAGGTACAGTGAGCGGCAGTATCAGATACCTGTGGGACTAGGGTGAAGGACGGAGGAACAAGGAGCACGAGAGGAGAAACTGCTTGAGAAGTTAGACCGTTGGGTCCTCCATCACCCACACAGGCCATTGCTGCTGGCACCTCCCATCTCCCACCCCGGCAGATGTCTGGACCAGAGTATCCATGATGCTGTAGGATGGAATGCATTCTGAATGCTGAAAGCAGTGAGCCCCAGGCCTTATCTCTGCTGACACCTTGGCTTTTAGATTTTACCCTCTGAGCAGCAGATCAGAACACAATTCCTTGAAAACCTGAGCACCGAAGGTCCAATATATTTGCTAACAAATAGTACACCCAGCTCACCTACAGTGAAGCAGGGTCATCGGGCCCACCTGTGCTTTGACCTTAGCCACTCACACTTAATCATCTGCAGATGGTGAGGAGTTACAAGACAGAACTGTGTTGTGTTTCCATCACAAACAAAGCAAAAACCTGAAGGAAACGTTATACAGGAAGGAAACTTGCAAAAAAAGAAGTAGACAATTATTATTAATATCCCCAGTGGAAGCTATTGAATCCATTAGGCAAGAACAGAGTCACTCTATAAGAACAGAGTTGCTATATAGAAGAGTCACATAACAAATCACAGCTCCCAGAAATTCAAGGCATGACAAAGTAAACACCTTAATGGAAGGATTGAAAGGGACAGTTGAGGGAATCTTCCAAAAAGCAAAGCAAAAAGATACAGAAATGTAAAATAAAGATTAGAACTTTAGAAAACCAGACAAGAGGTCCAGAAAGAAAGAGCAGAGAAAATGGAAGGAAAAAAAATCGTCATTGAAATAATGCAAGATGATTTCCCAGCACTGGGGGACACAAGTTGTGAGACAGAATTGACCATCATATGCTTAGGACATTAGATGAAAATAAACCCACTCCAAGGTACATCGTTACATTTCAGAACACTGAGGACAAAGAGAAGCTTCTCAATGCTTCTGCTTTTTCTAGGGAAAAAAGACACACACATTGAGGGGCCGGCCTGGTGGCGCAGCGGTTAAGTTCACATGTTCTGCTTCTCAGTGGCCCGGGGTTCGCTGGTTCGGATCCCAGGTGCGGACATGGAACCGCTTGGCAAGCCATGCTGTGGTAGGCATCCCACATATAAAGTAGAGGAAGATGGCCATGGATGTTAGCTCAGGGCCAGGCTTCCTCAGCAAAAAGAGGAGGACTGGCAGTAGTTAGCTCAGGGCTAATCTTCCTCAAAAAAAAAATTAAAAAAAAAAACACACACACTGAATTAAGAGTTAGAATTACTTGGACTTCTCTCTGAATAGCAACACTAGAAGTAAGATAATGCAGTTGTACCCTTCAAAATTCTGAAAGAAAGTAATTTTCAACCTAGAATTCTGCTTTTAGTCAAACTAACAATCAAGTCTGAGGATAAAATGAAGACATTTTTCGTGATGTCAAAAAATTAGCCTTTGCTATACTCTTTCTCATGAAGCAACTAAAAGGTGTGCTTCAGCGGAATGAGAAAGTAAACCGATGAAGAGGAAGACAAGAGCTACAGGAAACAGGAAGGAGGGAAAGGGAGTTCAAAGGAGCATGGTGAATGAAGATCCCAGGATGTCAGATGCGCAACATATGTATGTTATGGGTAGCCAGTCCACACTAGTAGGAGTCATGACCTATGACATGTTGAGGGTGGTCACTGCTAAGATGTCTGCTGGCATGTCTCCTCTTTTAACTATGGACAGACTGCTAGAGCAGGTCTGACGCAAAATCTTTTCCTTTTTTAACTGTGGTAAGAACATTTAGCCTGAGAACTACCCTCTGAACAAATATTTAAGTGTACAGTACAGTATTGTTAACTGTAGGCACAGGTTGTACAGGAGTTCTTTAGAACTTACTCATCTTGCATAACTGGAACTTTATACCTGTCAAACCGCACCTCCACATTTCCCCCTCCCTGACCTAGATTCCTATCTGTACTCTGCCACCATATAGTACCTGTATGCTAATCAGGTTCCTACTTTTGTCTTTGTGCCTTGCTGTTCAATTTAACTGAGAATATTCATTTCATTTCACAGAAATGTTCTTTTTTGACCTATCCATGAGAATTAGAGGTAGGTCATGGGAAGCTTAGGAGCAAAATATATACAGCAGCCTACTTACTTTGTATTTCTGCCAGACTTCCAGTACCTGGTCCCCTCTGGCTTGTCAGATGCTCTGATTGTGACGAACCCTATGTTTTCCAGTATTTATTCCTGACTTTACCCACTGACATGCTGGAAAGGGCTCTCGCTAATGCTCAGGGAAGCTACAGCGAGACTTCGACACAGAGACCCTGTGCATCTTCTCTTGTGGGTCCTTATCTAATAGTGGCAATGTTGATACGTTTGTGCTTGCTACTCAGGTGTTCAAAAACATACGATATATTGTTTGGTGATATGTACTACATAGGTAGTAGAACAAATGAAAAAGAAAGAGAATCCTTGACATAAATGGTTATTTCTGAGAGAGGGAGGCTGAGATCAAGGAGGAACATGCCAGTCATTCTAAGGTGTGTAATGTTCTGTGTCTTTTCCTGCATAGTATTCGACACTATTCCTGAAACAGTGTAATTCAGTAAATAAAATTTCCATCATTTAAAAAAATTATAAATGCCACTTTCTTGAAATAACAGATGGATATGATGGCAGAATAGGAAAATCAGTATGCTGTATTCATCTGAGAACTTATATTTACAGATTGATAAATTATAAAGTTTATGCATTATAAATTCTTTTTTTCCTCTTAAAGGTCTTTCTGTAAAAACAGAAAGCAAACAAACCAACAACCAAAACAACCTTTCCATCTTTTTACTTTTATTACTTAGTAGGTAAGGATCTAGGAATAGTTTTGTTGGTATTTTCCACATGGCTGGGCTTACCTGCAGACTCACTTGTTGGGTGCTGGTGGGTCTGGTAGAAGAGCACCATCTACTGGCAGACTCAGCCTTTTCGCTCACTAGTTATGGGATTGAAATAAAAACCAAGTGGTAGTGACAGTAAGAAGCCTGCAAGGTCAGACACATTGCCTTTTACTTTCTTTCCCCCCAAAATAACCTTGTCTGTCCTTACTCAGCACTTTACATCTGTGGGAAATCTCTGAATGTCAGAACTATAGGAAATGCTGGGGATGTGTGTGGAGCAGCGGTGGTTACACAGCGGTCTGTCCAGGGGTCCGTAGGGCTGGGGAACTCAGGATCCGCCATGATTGTATCTTTTCTGTGGTTTCCCTTTTTCACCTTGGCATCAGCAAATTACAAGTACCTGTGAAGTTTTCTTTGCCTTAAAACATTCTTTTAACAAGTGTTGAGCACATATTTGAAAGGAATAGTACTGATAAACTGGATTCCTTATGTATTATTAAACTCTCTCCACTAAAATTCCCATCAATTTTACCTAATTCAGTAGTGACAATTGAGCATTTTTCATTTGTGCTTCTTGAAAGTTTGCTTAAGCTATCTAGTTAAATCTTTGAGCAAACCATTGGCAAACGATGCCAAAGTTAAATTTTTTCCTTCTTTTAAGAGAGAGACATAACAAGCACGTTTGTGTTCTGGTGAGACTAATCCAATAAGGAGCAAAAATATTGTAGGAGAAAGGGGACAACTGCCGTAGTATCTGTTAACTTGGACACCTTTCTAGCAAGATTTCTGGAAATCTGTGGTAATACATACGTTGGCATTAAAAAATCTTCAGTTAAATGTATGCTTTTTAACACAGAACTACTTTGAAAGAACATTTGAGAATCCATAGTGGAGAAAAGCCTCATCTTTGCAGTATTTGTGGGCAAAGTTTTCGTCATGGAAGCTCGTACAGGTCAGTCAAGCCATTTTTTTCCTATATTAACTAAGATAAAATTATATCTCCATTTTACTTCTGTTTTCTTATCGTTGCATCAGTTGTTTGTTGAATTAAAACATTTCTTAGCACTTACGATAAGCAAAGTTGTGCAAAAAAACTTTACTGTATAGACTTTTTCCCTATGTTATAATTTTAATATTGTCTTCCTTCTGTGCTATAAACAAGTATTAAATATTTTCTCATCTCCAGGTTTGCTGAATGCTTTACTAAGTCGTTTAAATATTTATTTCACTGCCTTTTTTTTGAATCAAAATTCATTAAAACTCTGGTGTTCTAAACTTAGCGTATTTCTTCATTCTTGATTATCAAAGAATATTTTGGTGTGAAAGTATGGCAAAATGGAAAACTCGAGGATTCTCAATTTTAGGAAGTTTTCTGTGCATTAGTTGTAACTTATGTAATTATTTTTATAGCTGAATCTGGCACATTTGCAGTTGATTATGAAAAGTGGTTTTTTTCTGAATAAATAGTAGGTGGCTACCTACTGTGAGATATGTGTACAATTTTAATTTTTGTTAATACTCTTAAGAATTTTAATCTTAAGTCTTTAATTTTTACACTTTCATTTAGTATTTACTTCTTTTTAAGTTTTAACAGAATGTTTCCGCTTTAGATGTAGTCCAGCCAGTTTACTGGTTTTGGTCATGAGAATCAGCACCTGTTTTGGCAACTTGAATGGAGAAGCTGTTCATTTCACTAGGATATACATAGGTGGAGGATTGTGGGGATAAAAATAATTGAAGTTAAATGAATTTTAATAAATTAAACCTTTGATGATCTGTCTTTGGGTGACTATAAAATGAGCCACATTTTATGTGGTTAGTGTGAAGAAAAGTAGTAAAATGTAATCATCACAAAGTTGATTACTTATAAAATGTTCTAGATTCTCAGCTGTCAGTTTAAGTGTGGTGTCAGTTGTCCAGAATAGGAGTAATCCCTAATTATTTGCTGTATCATTTGCTGTCATTGTATGTGGAAGTCGCTTGAACACCTACCCCATGGGTCTGAATCTAATTCTTTCCCATTCAGTCCTACTTTGGCTGTCTCTGACACTGTCTCAGTCAGACAGACAATGACCCTAGATGTTTGTAGGCTCAGTGAAGTAGGTTTAGGATCTAAAAACTCAGGAGGGAATATCATCCAGAAGCAGTGTGAGCATGTGCAAATGTTGAGGTGCTTTTCTGAAAGATGCTTATACGAATCCTGGAGTCAGGTAGTGAAAGAGTGGGAAGAACTCTGAAAGTCACAGAAATGGAGCAAAAATAATGTGTGACGGTGGTTGAGTAAATGGTCCAGATTTCATTACTTAGAGTTAATCAAGTTTTTTCCTTCTGTGTCACCAGTTTCGATGGCCTTCAATTTTTTTTTCTTTATAGACTTCACTTGCGAGTACATCACGATGATAAAAGATATGAGTGTGACGAATGTGGGAAAACGTTTATACGTCATGACCACCTCACAAAGCACAAAAAGATACATTCAGGTGAGGTGTATTTTGCGATGACATTTCCAAAATCCGTTTAAAAAGCACCTGAAAAGGACAGACTACCTCATGTTTGTGTTGGCTATAATTTTAATAATTTATTATATTTTGGTCACCCCTTTGTAATGCTGGTTCTAAAAACCTTTTCTAAAAAGCATCTGAAAGGGACATAATTCTATGACATATTTTTGTTCACTGTAATTTTAATCATTTGGTCACCCATTATGACTACAAACTATATTTTAAAGTTTGTTTTCATCAAATTCTCAAAATTTGCATTTTGTACATTATGTGGGTATGTGCAGTGATTGCTACTGGCACTTCTCTAAAGGGAGAAGCCAAAATAATATTTCTCATTTTGATTGGATTTGAAAGAAGTTAACAAAACTTAGATGTCTGAAGAGAAATGATTATAATTGTGTGTTAAAGTTTATGTTAGGGAATTTTTAAAACCCTATCTTTGGAAAAAGAGTACCTTAATAATCCTGATCAGTTTCAGATCTTTATACTGTATTTATAATTTTTATATTGTGAGGATTTCTTTCATATTTTCCTCTCAGATTGATGTTCAGGAAGTGCTAAGAGAGCCAACTCTATGAGCACAATAATGGGAAAGAGCCATCTCTATGAGCACAGTAGAACAGGTGATTTTTATTATTATAAACAATTTAAGTAGAAAGTATGCAACAGGTGTAATTACCTTCTTAAATGACCCCAGTGAGGCAGGTTGCAGTTGTTATCGCACTTTTAAGAGATGCTGAAGGTCTGATGACTTTTTCACTAGAATTACACATTTTTAGGAGAAGTCCACATTCCTAATTCTAGAGGTCACATGGTTTAATTTCACACTGGTATTGAGACAGTGGTTTTTAAAGGCCAAACCTTTGTAATTGAACATAAGAATAGAGATGAGAACTTGGACTCATCTAGAATTTTCCTTTATATTTGTGTTTTGGCTCATTACAAATGTAAGATATCCCTACAGATGAAAAATCTTTTAAAAGTAGAGTCTAAAGATCTGAAAATGTTCAGGTTCTTTTTATAAACAGTAAGATGGCCTCATCTTGATTCAGTGTATGTTCTTTTGAGGTGTTTGATATCCAGACCTTTATATTCCTAAAAATATCCTGAGTTTTGAAGTAATTTCATTTATCTTTCTCTGTTGTGTTGGAAGGTAAAATTTGAAGTCTACAGCTAAAGGTTACTGATTCCTTCTCCACCTGGGGAGAAGGATTCACATCCGTGAAAATAAGCATAGATTCATTGAAGAAAGATATTTGAGTAAGGAATGTAAAGCAAATAGCCCAGAATACAGGGTGGCTTTACTTTCCTGGTGTATGTCTCAGCATGTTATCGTACTGTTTGATAATTTGTCCCTGGGGGAAAAACCCTGAAATGCGTATTATAATCAAAATATTTGGGTCTTTAAGGTGAGAAGGCTCATCAGTGTGAAGAATGTGGGAAATGTTTTGGTCGTAGAGATCATCTCACTGTTCATTACAAAAGCGTACACCTTGGAGAGAAAGTGTGGCAAAAGTAAGTGAAAAAGCTAAGTTTCTCATAATTACCAAATTGGGTAAGGTTGGAGTAGTCGATTTTGTTTAATTGAAAATGGGTTACCCAGCTCTCTTTCCCTCGCTTCTCTGGCTTCTCTGCAGACCTAAAGGAATTGAAGGAAGCATATTTTCCCCACTTGTTTTCAGTTGATTCAAAGGCTAGGAGGTGGTAGACATTGAAGTTAATGACTAATATAAAATCTTGGCATTCTTTGGGGGTTTTGTTTGGTTGCTGTGGCTCTTTGAGAGCTAAATATAAATATACTGTCTATATATTATACTTAATAAGATAGTAATCATTGGGAAATATTTCTAGTCAGCATTTAAATCTCTTTCTAATCACACTAAGCATTTAAAATGGTATTTTATTTGACGCAGGCATGTGCTGTCCTGAATGTCAACTTTCTTAAAAGAATTTAGATATCCAAGTTTAACTGAGATTAGTTGTTGAGTGTAAAATGTTCAAAGAATTCACGTTACTGGATTAGGTATTTGGAGGAAATGCTAAGTAACAGACATGGTCTCAGGTGCCAGGAAACTTAGTTTAGTGGTACAGAGTGTGATCAACAAAGTATACGTGGTATGTATAAATGTAGTAAATGATGGACTGACTTGAAGAAGAGTAGGAAGTGTCGACTTGTATTCAGCTTTTCCATTTTTGTTTTACTGGTTTATTGTTTCACTGATTTTGTTCGGTGATGCTCTTATTGAATCAGTGTATTCGTGTAGTCATTAAACTCTTGTATTCATTAGATACTAGGAATGCTGCTAAATGCCGGGATAGAAAGATACACATGATGCTGCCTAGAAAAGGAAATAAGCTCTTCAACGTATTGTATGAATGGGTGGAAAACAGACTTAGAACTGCAGGCTCGCCTGCTCCTGAGATTCTAGAACTGTTTTTCTCAACCCCTTTATACCCTGAAAAATTATTCCATACCTCAGGAGCTTTGGTTTATATAAATTATAATATAAAAATTGTATTATTGTTTAAATATATAGATCATATTAGAAATTGAAATGAGAAAAAATTAGGTACTTATTTATGAATTCATTTAAAAATAATAATACATACCCATCACATGCTAACGTAAACGGCAGTTCTGTGAAAAATAGCTACTTTACAAAAAAATATTAAAAGAGCGGTATTGTTTTACATTTTTGTAAATCTCTTTAGTGGCTTAATAGGAGACAGCCGGATTGTCATATCTGCTCTCGTGTTATTTTGTTTGAAGTAAATGAAGAAAACAGATACACAGTTGGTCAAAGGAGGAGTATTAAAATCGGCTTCTTAGATAGTTGTGGATGTTATTCTCTGCTACTCCAAAAGTAAACAAGTAGTAGTTTCTTCAGGATTGTTGCAAGGTGGAATCTGAAATAAGATTAATGAAGTTTTCATACCCCGTTTCATTTAGTCTGTTGGTCTGTCTGGTACTTTGAATGGATTTTTTACCTATGCATGATATTATAATATCATGGGTTTGTTATTTGGAAAATACGGGTTATGCAGATTTTCCAAATGTTAGCACATTTCACAGTATAGGATCAACAAGTTGCATTTGTTAATATTGCCTCCCTTCTCTCAGGAGTATTGGGAAGCTGTCACGATCACAGGGGCAGATACAAGTTTTCTAACGTTTCTTCTCTTCTGGACTTTTTAAAATAGTGACTCTACTTCAGTATTCACTTCTTCACTTTCTGTTCACTGTTCAAACTGTTGTGCTATGACTTTTGACCTTAGCATACCTCTCAAATTGCTGTCAAGTATGAGTTCCTTATTGCCAAATCTAATAGATTGATTTTCTCTCTCTCTCTCTCTCTCTCTCTTTTTTTTTTTTTGGTGAGGAAGATTGGCCCTGAGCTAAAATCTGTAGCCAGTCTTCCTCCCTTTCTTGAGGAAGATGGTCCTTGAGCTAACATCTGTGCCGTTTTCCTCTATTTTATATGTGGGACACTGCCATAACATGTCCAACGAGCAGTGTACTAGGTCCATGCCCAGGACCTGAACCTGTGAACCCTGGGCTGCTGAAATGGAATGCACAAACTTAACCACTATGCCACTGAGCTGGCCCCACAGTAGATATTTTTAAGTCCTTTTCATGCTGGGCATCTCTGCTTCATTTGGAACTGTTTATCACTCCTGCCCCGAAAGTATATACTCTTTAGCATCCATGTGAGAATGGAGAGGTGTGTACCTAGGGCCTGACCCATGCAGGTCCTTGTTGATTTTCTTTTCACCCTGTGTCCACTGTGAGACAATCAAAGTGTTTTGAGATGTCTGTGTTCAAAACATCACTATATTCATAGTATAGATTTCTTAGCCACAGCACTGTTGGCATTTGGGGATGGATAATTCTTTATTGTAGTGTAGGAAGCTGTCCTGTGCACTACAGGATGTTTATCAGCATCCCTGGCCTCTACCCACTAGATGGCAGCACCTATCCGCCCCTAGTTGTGAAAAACAAAAATGTCTCAGGCATTGCCCGATGTCCCACGAGAGACAATATTGCCCCTGGCGGAGTACCACTGCGTCTCTCTATCTGTGTCCATGGTGATGCTGTTTGTATCTCTGCATTTACCGTGGATTTGAATGGAACAAGACAAACCAAGCTTACCGGTTACAAGTCTTTTGCTAAGTTTATCAGGGACACTTCCAATTCACTAAATCCAAATTATCTTTTTAAATGTCTGTTTCATCGAGTAGAAGTAAGTTCCTAGAAGACAGGGCCTTGCATGGCGTCTTTGTAGCTACTTAGTAAATGTTGAGTTGGATGAATTGACAAGTGTGAAGGGCGTTTGAAACCCTAGGCACACTATTGCTGTTTGATGTTGGTTAACAACATGCTAAACATTCCAGGAAGATTCAGTAGATACGTTGACAGCAAACAGTCTTACAGACATTGTAATAGCCTGTGTTTGATTTAATTATTTTTCCATGTACTCATTAGATGCAGATTACTTCCAAGGTGAGATGCTGTGGCTTTCCTAAAAACTGCCACTTAAATGCTAATCATTTTACAAATATCTTAATCCTCACAGTTAAATTTTGAGTTTAGGATCGCTTAACTCAAACACATATTCTTAGGCACTATATTGCTTAACTTTTGAGTGATTTATAGCTTTTTGTGTCTATTAATAAAAATAAAGGACTAGTATCTCATTCATTTTTACTTAAGTGTAAAGTTTAAGTTCAACTTTATAATATTTATTTGTTATAAAGTGGACCAAAGAGAGCAATGTCATCTTTTTGATGGATGCACAGTTTGAGATGCTAAGGTTCTTTTCATTCAGCCTCAGATCTTTTTATTTTAAATTTAGTTAAGGTATAATGTACCTACAGAGAAATTCACTCTTTTTAGTGTACAGTTGTGCAAGTTTGGACAAATGCATGCAATCATGTACGACTCATTACCACGGTGAACATGTAGAATGGTTCTATCACCCCCAAAATTTCCACCACGCACCTTTGTTGTCAGCCCTTTGTTCCACCCTTCAGCCCATCATTGATCTGTGTCTGTCCCTATAATTTTTCATTTGGTATTTTTTAATAGCAAATTATAATAATTGTAAAGTTCAATGATTTAAAGGTTAAAACTAAGTGGTTTAAAGTTGAAAACCTAATGACCTCTTTGTATAGATTTGTTTGTTGACTATAACTGGGGAGGAGGAACCAGAGGTAAGGTTGGTACTTAAAAAGTATTTCCTTGTTCCTTTGGAGTTCTGTGCTTTAGTCGGAGAATTATATATAAAGTTGTACATGAAGTTGTAACTTATTTTTTCTTATTTATTAAAATTATATTGAAAAACTGAAATCTTTTTATTTTCTTAGATATAAAGCAACTTTTCATCAATGTGATGTTTGTAAGAAAATTTTTAAAGGCAAATCAAGTCTGGAAATGCATTTTCGGACGCATTCAGGTAAAACTTAATGGGTACTTTATACATAGTTGTGTAATTATTCAGTAATAAAATATAGCCATTTAAACTTTTTGTTCTTGATTAAATTGTTTTGTTTTTTCCTTATGAAGATTTTTACACATTATGTTAAAGTTGATGTCATGAATGAGCAATAGTTGGTCTTTTATTCTCTATTATATAAGCTTCCGTACTTTTGAATATCATTTTGTAGAATTTGGGAAAAATTTTTTCCGTAGAGAATTTACTCAACTCTTAGCTCTCGTTTTCCCATTTTCTGGTTGTTTATGGTTCCTCTATATCTGTATAACTCTGAAGACACTCAGTTTCTTCTCTTTAAGAGAGTAGTTCAGATATGACCTCATTGTCTTAGTTACCAAGTTACCATTGTATACTTTTCCTTTAAACATAGTCAGTTGTGATTTTTACGTAGTTTTGGTAGAATAATTTGCTTCAGCAGTTTTCCAGAAGTTGTCATTTTCTAAGCCTTTCTTTTTTTCCCCTTGGCAGTGCTACCATATTTTGAAATATAGACAGTGTTGGATTCTTTCCTGTATATTGTCAGAGTCCTTATTTGACTTCTCCTATAAATTAACAATTTTTAAAGCTTTCTCTTTTTTTAAGAAAGAAGTCCATTTATGCATTTGTGGCTGCTTTGTTGTATATTTAGTTTGGATTTTCTCAGGCTGTTGCTCTGGAATATGTAAATATTGATTTCATAAATATCAGAGGAGGAAATATCTGGACTTGGGCAATTTTAGTTGCAAAGAATTGCAGTAAAGAATTTATTACTGATACATTGCTGCCGTTAAAAACAAAATTGGGCCTCCCTCCAAATGAGAAAGTCAGAATTTGGGGTACATAAATAGTAGTGTCAAATGAGGAAACTCTATTAATGTTATCTTCCACATTAGTTGTAAGTGATAAGCCTCATGGGGCTGCCCCATGGCCGACTGGTTGGGTTCACACGCTCTGCTTCGGAGGCCCAGGGTTTCCCCGGTTCGAATCTTGGGTGTGGACATGGCACTGCTCATTGGGCCATGCTGGGGCAGTGTCCCACATGCCACAGCTGGAAGGACCCACAACTAGAAATACACAAGTGTGTACCGGGGCTCTTGGGGAGAAAAAGGACAAATAAAATCTTTAAAAAAAAAAAAGAAGTGCAGTTGTTTGTGTATTGACTTTTTATCCAGTTACTTTGCTAAGGTCTCTTGTTAATTTTTATAGTTAGTCTCTAGCTGTTTTTGGATTTTCTAAGCATACAAACTGGCCATCTGTGAATGACAATTTTATTTCTCTCATTTTAAATCCTTGTAACTCTCCTTCTCTCTCTGTTTTGTTTTTTTTTTTTTTGGCCTTATTGCTTTGGTTGACATCACCACTAGTGTAGAAATAGAAATATTGATAGTGGACATCCTTGTCTTATTCCCAATTTCCAGGGAAAAGCTTTCAGTATTCCACAATTAAGTATGATGTTTTCTAGGGATTTTTTTTTTTGTAGATACTATTTAGCAAATAAAGAAATTACCTTCTATTTCTAGTTTATTTAGTGTTTGTCATGAATAGGTGTTGAATTTTATCAGATTTTTTCTGCGTTTATTGAGGTGATCATATATTTTTCCTTTATTAATGTGGTAAATTACATTGATATTTGAATGTTAAACAAAACTTGCATTACTGAAAAAAACACAGATTGGTCATGATGTATTATCCTGTGACTATATAGTTGAATTTTTTTTTGTCTATGTTCATGAGACATACTGCCTTTTTTTTCCCTTGTAATGTCCCTAACAGGTTTTGTTGTCATGACTATGCTGGCCTCAAAAAATGATTTGGGAAATAATACATCTTTTTCCATTAACTGGAGGAGTTTATGTAAAAGTGGCATTATTTCCTCATTAATATTTGGACGAATTCACTGATAAATCCCTCTGAACTTGTTGTTTTCTTTGGAGAAAGGTTTCAATTAAAGATTTGTTAGGGGCTGGCCCAGTGGCACAGCAGTTAAGTTGGCATGTTCTACTTCAGCGGCCCAGGGTTCGTATCCTGGGTGTGGACCTACGCACCACCTGGCCAACCATGCTGTGGCAGGCATCCCACATATAAACTAGAGGAAGCTGGGCACGGATGTTAGCTCAGGGCCAGTCTTCCTCAGCAAAAAGAGGAGGACTGGCAGCAGATATTAGCTCAGGGCTAATCTTCCTTAAAAAAAAAGGATTGTTTAACAGTTACAGAGCTGTCAGATTTTCAATATCTTTTTTGATTTTTAAGGAATTCTATTTAATCTGAAATATCAAATCTGTTGGCAGATTCAGGATATTTTATTATCTTTTTAATGACCATAGAGTCTTTAATGATAACCTTTTTTCATTCCTATTATTGATAACTTGTCTTTTCTTGCTGAGAACTTATTGATTCTATTAATCTTTTCAGAGAAATTCTAGATTTTGGTGATTTTTCTCTGTTTTATATTTGTGTTATATTTCACTTCTGCTTTTATTTTTCCTGTGCCTTCTATTTTATTTAGGTTTAATTTCTTTCTGTCCCTAGTTTCTTTATATGGATGCCTAACTTAGTAAATTTTAGCATTTCTTATTTTTATTATATGTATTTTAAAGCTCTAAGTTGTCCACTAAACATTACTTTAGTTATATTTCATGCTTCATTTTGTATTTCTTGTCTTCATTATAATTCAGTTAAAAATATTTTCTAATGTGTTTTCTGATTTATTCTCTTATTCATGGTTTACTTGGAATTGTATTGCCCAATTCCTAAATATTTTGGGATTTTCTAAGTATTTTATGTTACTGGTGTCTAGCTTAATTCCACTTTTGTCAGAGAACGTATTTTATTGTTCAGATAGTCTACATTCTTATTGATATTTTTTGTCTACTTATTCTATAAGTTATTGAGAGATCTGTGTTAAAATCTCTAACCTAATTGTTGATTGTAAATTATCTGCTTTTTCTTTTGAGTTCTTTAACTTTTTGCTTTATATATTTCAAGCTGTGTTATTAGATGTATACAGATTGTTGTATCTTTCTGTTGAATGGTCCTTTTTATTATAAAGTATCTCTCTTTATACTGGGATAAGGATGTACCAGCTCTCTTTTCGACAATGTTTGTATGGTTCCATTTTTTCTATCTTTTTACTTTCAGTCTTTCTGTGGACCTATATTTAAAATGTGTGACTTTGAAGTATTGTTTTATTATCTATTGTGATAATCTCTTTTAATTGGAATGTTTAGTTCATTTAAATATCACGTGATTCCTCATATATTTGGGTTAAATCTGTCATCATGCTATCATCTCATCTGTTCCTTCATCCTTTTTTCTCGTCTTCACTTCCCTGTAATCATGAAGTATTTTTATTACCCACTTTTCCTCACTTAGCTTGTCAGTCTTATGTTCTTTTCTTATTTATTTTTTTTTGAGGAAGATTAGCTCTGAGCTAACTACTGCCAGTCCTCCTCTTTTTTGCTGAGGAAGCCTGGCCCTGAGCTAACATCATGCCCATCTTCCTCTACTTTATACGTGGGACGCCTACCACAGCATGGCGTGCCGAGCGGTGCCATGTCCGCACCTGGGATCCGAACCGGCGAACCCCAGGCTGCTGAGAAGCAGAACGTGTGAACTTAACTGCTGCGCCACCAGGCCGGCCCCTGTTCTTTTCTTATTCTTTGAGTAGTCTCTGAAGATCACAGTGTGTCTTCCTAAACTATTAGTCTATCTTAAATTAGTTCTTCATCGCTTTCTAGACAATGCAAAGACCTTACAACATCCTCTCTCACCTTTTATGCATTGTATATATTTTAATCCTACATATACTTTAAACCACCTGCAACATTATTTTTGTTGTTTTAAGTAAGCAATATTATTTGTTTTTAATCATATATTTACTCTTTACTGTTCACTTCCTCCTATATTACCATTCTTCCACTTGGAATCATTTTTCTTCTGCATGAAGAACTCCCTTTTGGTGCATATCTGCTGGTAGCAGATTCTCTTAGATTTTGATTGTCTGAAAATGTTTTAATTTTACTTTTTGGAGAATATTTTTACTGACTATAGAATTTATGTTGGCAGTTATTTTTCTTTCAACATTTAATTATGTCATTTTTTCCTCTTTGAGCTTCCTTGGTTTTTGTTGAAAAATATACTGTCAGGCTTATTGTTGCTCATATAAAGGAAGTGTCTCTTTAATTGGCTACTTTTATCTTTGATTTTCAGTAGTTTTATTGAAGTGTATCTAGATGTGCTTTTTTGTTTTTGTTTTTTGTATTTTGTGAGGTTTGTAGAACTTCTTGTGTCTATGACTTGATGTCTTTCTCTTTAGGAAGATTCTCAGCTTTTTTTTTTTTTCCAAATATTGTCTTTGCCCTACATTCTGTCCTGTTTCTGGGACTCCAATTACATATATGTTAGACTTTTCACTTGTCTTATGTATGTTTCTCATGCTGTTTTCTGTATTTTCAATCTTATTTCTCTGTGTGCTTCCATCTGGATATTTTCTATTGATCTATTTCTCATTGTACTAATCATTTCTTCTGTGGTGTCTAATTTGCTATTAAATCCATCTACTGAATTATTCAATTATTTTATCTGTTCTAGAATTTCCTTTTTTCCCTAGATTCCAATTCTCCTATGAAATTCTCTTTTCCTATATTTTCTTGAACATATTAATCATATTCATTTTAATATCTCAGTTTTATGTGGTATCTCTTTACCTTTAGATGTATCTATTAGCTTTTTTTTTCTCTCTCTTGGCATTTGGTCATTTGATCCTGTTTCTTGACGTACCTGGTAGTTTTGAAGTGAACTTTAGATTTTTGTGAATGAAAAATTGTAGAGGCTCTTGAAGTTGTGTTTTTTCCCAGACAGACTTAATTTTCTTTGCACGAGCTGATAGAATATGAGATGACACTGATCTTCTCTGGTCTATTTCTAGGCTACTTTTCATCTAGTTCATCATCATTGTGAGGTCTCAACTGAAAACTGTATAGTGTTTGTTCCAGAGTCCCTCCACTTGGGTGAGACTTGAACTCTAATGTCTGTCTCCCCAGTACCCTTGGGATTGCTGAAAAATCTGTTAACCCTTTAGCCTCCCAGCCCCTGGTGTCTAGCTATCTCATCCAGCAAACGTTCATCTTAGGAGCTGGCAAATATGGGTATTTTGGTTCATTTCTCTGTTGTTCCTTCCCTTCCAGGCTCGTGACCCCTCAAGTCCTTGGTAGTTCCAAACTCTGACTTTATCTTCCCATTCCAGTGAGATGTCCTCAGGCTGCCACGTGGGCTCTCTTTCCCTATACACTAAATCTGGAAGTGCACTGAGGAGAGAAAACACCTCCATCCCTTTGTGCGTCTCCAGAATCTTGGCCCCTTGAGTTCTGGCTGTCTTGGTTGCACTTCAGTGCTTCTAGAGAGTAGGGTTTTTGTTACAGCCTTTGTAATCTTTTCTCTTTCCCCCTTCACCAGCAGGAGGCACGGTATGGTATAAACTTCTCTCTCAAGTCTGAAATGGTAGTCCTCAAGTCACACTTTTCACATACTAATTTTAATATCTAAACATAACTGATCCAGTGGAATATATTTTTTAATTCTAAAAGCTCACAGGTTACTATGATTTTAGCTGAGAAATAGTTTACTTCTCTTTGAGTGTTGTTTTGTCTCCTTTGCCTCTTAAAATATAGACTCCTTTCTGTAAATCTTGCAAGGGACCTTACCTGTGTTTTCTTATGTCTCTGATTTATGATCTTGGGATGCACCCAACTTGGGTTAACTGTTGTCAAATAGATAATTTTATGGCAGAAAGTCTTGCTGTAGAAAATGTTTTGGGGGCTGGCCCCATGGCCTAGTGGTTAAGTTCGCTGTGCTCTGCTTCAGTGCCCCAGGTTCAGTTCCCAGACTCAGACCTATACCACTCATTGGTGGCTGTGCTTTGGTGGCAAGCCACACACAAAGTAGAGGAAGATTGGTACAGATGTTAGCTCATGGCAAATCTTCCTCAGCGAAAAAAAAGAAGAAGAAGAAGAAAAGCAAAGATATGTTTCTTTAATTTGTACTTCTTCTTTCATCAAGTTCATAGTACTGGCCCTTTCTACTTGTGTATCTTTAGGCACCCTAGATTTGCTTTTGAAATTTAATAATGTGAACATTTTCTTTGTGGATTGTTGTCTTTTTACAAACCTAAATTGATTTTTCTGTTGAAAATGACATTTGTTTAAAATGAGAATAGAGGGGCCGGCCCCATGGCTGAGTGGTTAAGTTCACGAGCTCTGCTGCAGGCGGCCCAGGGTTTTGCTGGTTCAGATCCTGGGTGTGGACATGGCACAGCTCATCAAGCCATGCTGAGGCTGCATCCCACCTGCCACAACTAGAAGGACCCACAACTAAAAATATACAAGTATGTATCAGGGGGCTTTGGGGAGAAAAAAGAAAAAAAAAAAAAAATGAAATGAGAATAGAAATTTTTTCAAGAAATATGCCCAGCTGGGTCCCAGTTTTCTAAAGGTATTGGATACAGAGCTGATTGACTATGGCTTTAAGTTCAAAATCAATATTTGCATTTATAAAACCTTTTGAATTAACACATTGAAGGAACCATCATGGCTAGTACTGTGCCAAAGGAGAAGACTTAAAACCAATACTTCTGTTCTTTATAAATAAATTCTGTGCTTCTCGGTGATGTTAGTAATGTTATGGTAGTGTTTTTATTTTCAAAAAAAAAAATCATAAAATGCTTCCTGCATGACAAATTTTGATGCCAGGGATTATAGAAAGAACTTTATACTTGTTGCATTTGGAAGTGTAACTTTTTTCCAAAACACTCTTTTACGACTTTTTCATTTTATTCCTGATTCTGGGTATTCTAGGTAGAATCAGGTGTCTGGGTACAGTGTGTTCTATACACAGTTGCAAGTACTTTCTTTTCAGAAATATGTTAACCCTTTATATAATGTATTACTTTGTGTCTTACTTCCTTTCTAGTGACATCAGTACTGATATTAGTCCAGAAACAAGTAGAAATCTAATAGTAGCAGGAACCTAGCATCCTGGCCTGTATAAATTTTCTGTCACTGAGATTTGAAAGTTCCAATGGGCCACAAAATAATAATTAAACAATAATATTTAACAAGTAATTCATTATTTGATATTGGTGTTTCAAGTTGAAATTGTAATTATTTCTTCATTATCTAGGAGAATTGATGATGTTTTCAATGGCAAGATGAAGAAGATAATGATATCAACAAACCTATGTAACTATTAATATAAAATCTTTTCATTTTGTTTTAAAATGTGCCTTTCTGTCTATTGTAATATTAGTATGGCTGGCTGTATTAGTTTTCTCTTGCTGCTGTACTTTTTATAAATGCAAGTTATCACAAGCTTAGTGGCTTAAACAATACAAATTGATGATCTTACAGCTCCGTAGGTAAGAAGTCTGACACCAGCCCAAAACCGAGTTGTCGGCAGGGCTGCATTTCTTTCTGGAGACTCTCAGGAAGAATCTTTCCTGCTCAGTTGGGTTATTGGTAGAGTCGACTCTTCGAGTTGTAGGACCAGGACCCAGATTCTCGTTTTCTTTCTGTTTGTAATCTGGGAGCCTTTCTTGGCTTCTAGAGGCTGACACATTCCTTGAGTCCTGGCCTGCTTCTTCCGTGTTCAAAGCCAGCGCTTTGGGGTTTTGTTCTCCTCTTGGCATATCTCTCTGACCCATTCTTCTTCATTTATCTGTCACTTTTAAAGACTCATATGATTAGATTGGGCCCACCTGCACATTCCAGTTAATTTCCCCGTTTCAAGATCTTTAGCCTTAATCATATCTGTAAAGTCCCCTTTGCTATGTGAGGGGACGTATTCCCATTTTCCTGGGATTGGAATGTGTGCATCTTTGGGAAGCTATTATTCTGCCTACCATACTGGCTAACCTATAATGTTTCATATTGAAAAAACAAAAACCAAAAAATTACAGTGTGAGAACCTGACTCAGGAAAAATTGAAAACTGGTCCAGCTTCCTTATTCTTTATTCTGATAAACTCTCCTTATTTTGGCCTCAGGCTAGAGATAGGTGTCACTACTTCTAATTCTGATCCAAAGAACCAGGTTAATCGGAATTACTGTTTTGGTTTTTATCCTTCTTTGGTGGGAAGAAATCAAATGTTTTGTTTTACAACTTTTTTAGAGGCTATAGTGGAAATAAAAGCAAGCAATAATAATAATAGCCTAGGTTTATCAGGTACTCATATGTGTCAGGTACAGTGTTAAATGCTATGACTTCATTTTCTCATTCAATCCATTCACCAGCTCTATGAGGTAGGTAGTGTTATTATTCCCTATTACAGGTGAGGAAACTATGCTTCAAAGTTGGGTAGCTTGCTCAGGGTTTGGCTAATAAGTGGTATTGCTAGGATCCAAACCCAAATCTTTTTTTTTTTTTTTTTAAGATTTTTTTTGAATTTTTTTCCTTTTTCTCCCCAAAGCCCTCTGGTACATAGTTGTATATTCTTCGTTGTGGGTCCTTCTAGTTGTGGCATGTGGGATGCTGCCTCAGCGTTGTTTGATGAGCAGTGCCATGTCCGCGCCCAGGATTTGAACCAACGAAACACTGGGCCGCCTGTAGCGGAGCGCGCGAACTCAACCACTCGGCCACGGGGCCAGCCCCAACCCAAATCTTTTTGATGTTTGACCCATTCTCTTTACCAACTTACTGTACTGTCTCTATTTTGTGATAGCATATAATATGACTGCTTTTATTAAGTTCTTATACATGTTCACGTGGGAAATTGGCTACATAAAATCATTGTCTTAGTGAGCGAGTGCATTTTGTCCTTAATTTCATTTTTGTTCATACAGGTGAAAAACCATACAAGTGTCAAATTTGCAATCAATCTTTCAGAATTAAGAAAACTTTAACGAAACACCTGGTTATCCATTCCGATGCCCGACCTTTCAACTGTCAGCACTGTAATGCAACATTTAAGCGGAAAGACAAGCTGAAATACCACATTGACCACGTGCATGGCATAAAATCTCCTGACGATCCTCTTAGTACTTCTGAGGAAAAACTGGTATCCTTGCCAGTAGAGTACTCATCTGATGACAAAATCTTTCAAACAGAATCAAAACAATACATGGACCAGCCCAAAGTTTACCAGTCGGAAGCCAAGACTATGTTACAGAACGTGTCTGCCGAAGTGTGTGTTCCAGTAACGTTGGTCCCAGTTCAGATGCCTGATGCTCAGAGCGACCTGGTGCGCCATACCACCACACTTCCACCCTCTTCTCATGAGATCTTGTCGTCACCACCGCAATCAACGGATTATCCACGAGCAGCTGATCTCGCGTTTCTGGAAAAATATACTCTTACTCCTCAGCCTGCAAATATAGTTCATCCAGTCCGACCTGAACAAATGCTTGATCCTAGAGAACAGTCTTATCTTGGAACACTATTGGGCCTTGATAACACTACTGCTGTACAAAATATTTCTAATAATGAGCATCATTCATGAGTAAATCTAAACATTCCACAGACTTTTTTGATGGTTATGTGCTAATGGTAGCCTAGAGCTGATGGCTTTTAAATTAGTAGAGCTGCTGTTTTTTCATTTTCTCTCATTTCTCAAGTCCTCAGAACTATTTCAAATCAAGAAAAATATGTATTTCTGTTTACTGAACAGATGAATATTTGGACACATTTTGCGGTATAATATTTGAAGTGAACATTTTTAAAGATTAGTGCTAATTTTTAATGGTTTCTCAAACTTTTCAAAATTATCAGCTGTTGACATTCTGGGTTTTCTTTTTTTCAAAATCATCAGTGTAAATTTTAGTCTTTAATCCTTTTCCTCTTTGCTTTCTTCCCCATCTTCCAAACATTTAAGGACCATGTGCCCTTTAAGAAAGAAAATAAGAGCATACTGATAATTGCAGCTGTTCCTTATCTTAAGATTCGTTATTATTTCTTCTAGATTCTTTTACATTGAAATTAGGAATTTGAATTTATAAGACAGCCTTGGATATTTCTGTTTTTTTTAATCTGGCCATAATTTCAAGCTATCATTTTCCTTTTTCTTTGGACAAACTCCAAGCCAGAAAGCTAACTAATGTAAGATTAGCTTGTTAAATGTAGAATTGAAATAATTATCCAAATGATTGGTTTTTGCCCATGCTTCAAATATTATGAATAAGAAATGCAAATATAGATCTAGGCATTAAATTACACAAGTTGAAAATGTGTTAAAAGCAAACTATGACAGTTTTAACTAGCTATCTCTCAAGATAAGTTCACCTTTTGTATTTTGCCATTTATTTCAGAAACATTAACAACATGTCACAGCATATATCTTCATCTCACTAACGGAGGGGCACTTGTAACTAATTAATGAAATTTAATTAACAAGCTACTTTTGGTCTCATTTACCTTGGCTAACTGAAACTCTGGGAAACAGAACCTAGATTATTCATATATAATTGCTAGAAAAGGTGCCAAACAAATTATAAAATTTGTGTCTAGCTGAACTTAATGTTGTTTACTTTAATTAAAGGGAACCACTACTTGTATACAGATTTACATGTAATCCAGATCTTTATTTTTGCTTTTTACATAAGCCTAATGTCTAATTATCCTTGATTTTTATTTTTGTATGAGGCAAAAGTTGAGGACTTGTTGAAAGGAAATAGCAGTTACAGCAGAACCTCACTGATTAAAATTAATTGAGGAGAAAGTCAAAATTATAAAATACCTTTAAAGATGTGCACTTTCCATATTTTCAAGTCAATTTAAACTTAAACTAGGATAATTTCCTAGTAGAGCTGCTTGAAGGATTAGAATAGGCAGGGTTGATTTATTATTAGCATGTCATTTGTATGTAAACTACTGGAAAATAGCAATTTTAAGAGTTTTCTATTTCCGTTTTGTTTACACTCCTAATTGCTTTAAGCACTTTTTTTGTGTAAACTGTAAAGTCTGGCCCAGCCATTGTGAAAAAAAATCACAAATAAAATAATGAAGTTTTAGTGAATAAAATTTAACCACTTATTGGGAAACTTGTTTGCTGAAGCACTTAAGAAATTAAGGTACTCTACAGGAGCATTCACCATACTAGTGGAAATAAAACAAAAGAAAATGTTGAGAACTGAGGCAGTTAACCAAAGTAGCATAATAATAAAACCAACCTGAGTTTTGCCTCATTTATCAAGGTTTGGTTGTAATTATCCTAGGACCAGTAGCTATAATTAATGTATTAATTTTTCTTTTTAAAGAATTACTACTTTTGTGTGGAAATGTTATATCTGGGGTACTTTCATGATTGAACTTGACTATATGAGGTACTATTAGTCTGTTAGTCTTTCAAATTGACTTTTAAAAATACGTATCTTTATGATTTTTATCATAAAGACCAATGAGACTTTTAACTAAAAATTTACTATAATGAGAAGAAATCATACATGAAAATGTACCCTGCCTTACATGTAAGCCAATGTAGACAAGTTTGGACTTATAAAAAGGCAAATGGTATATATGTGTATGTGTATGGTATATTATATGTTTGGTAGCAGAAAAAGAGGGTGTTGCATTTTCACATTGAAAAGAATACTTTGCTTCGCAGGTATTGACGTTAGGGTTCCTTTAATAATAATCTCTAATGCTTTAAATATGTGATTTGATGGTAGGAATTGGTTTACAGTAGAGAACTTTTCTGGAATACATCTCATATAAAGTGAAATATAATTATATTTACTTATTATTGTACATAACTTAAACTTGAATAGTGGTTGACTGTTGCATAAATTGCTTTTACAGTTATCTCACGTAAACCTCGTAGCCGGCTCTGGACTAGAACGGACGTGCTGTATCCCCGTCTTAGAGAGGGAGTCTGGGGGGAAGATAAAGGACTCAGTGCGGCTCGCATCCTCGGGGGCGGAGCTGCCCTTAGGGAGAGAACACCACCTTAGTGAGTGCTTCCTTGTGCCAGGCGCGAGGCAGCACTCTCGTGTCATTTTACACAGTCCCGGAGGCAGGTAGTGTGATACTTATGAAGAAATCGTCTCAGCGAGGGTGGACACACAAAAACATCTGCTGCCTCTAATTTCCCGATTAGAATATAAGAAATTTTTAAATTGTGAAAACCTCATAGATTTGGGCAAACTGAATGTATATATAAGTTTTTGAAGTTGGCACAAAAAAATATGAAGTGAGGCCTACTCTTTTCAGTTAACCTGTTTGTAATATTTGATTTGGAGTATTTTGGACAAATGTTCCATTACACTCTAAAATCTATTATTTCTGCAGCTATACTTAAAATTTTGAATCTTGCAACTAAGTTTAGCCTCATTCAGAATTTTTTATTTTATGAGCATAATTTATTGTTTTAAATTAATTTTTTAGCTGATAGCAGTTAGCACTTAATATGTAAATTGAATAATTTATCAAGTGTAGAAACTTGTTAACCTAATCAGTTTTTACGTAACTACACCAAAGATTTTTAGTAGGTATTAAATAGTTTAAAAGAATTTAAATTCTTTGTTGTTTGAATACATATTTGTCCAAAGAAGCACAGTTGAAGTCCTAGGATTGTGGATTTTTACAAAAATCGTTAGTTTGAATACTAAAATTAAGTATTGTTTATGTTATATGTATAAAAATAAGAACAGAAGAAAATACTCTGGGAATAGTCATACTGACAAACCAATTACAAGTAAGAATACTCAGTTTTTCTCAGTTTAATTAATTGAATGTTATCTTTTATGTGGACACTATTAAATGGTAAATAAGCTTATTTTTTACACTACTCTATTAAAATAATTTTGCCTTAGAATTTTTTTTAAGACACATTGAAGTTGTTTTTGTGAGAAACCCTACCTATTTTTTGCAGCCTAAAATACCATTTTAAGGTTAGGGTTTGTTTTTGATGCCAGCAAGATTTAACCAACAACAGTAAAGGTAGCGACTTTTGCATACTTTTGAGTAATTTAGTCGTTTATTGCCGGGAGAAGAGAAGTATCAGGAAGAGGGTTTTAAACTGGTGCTTTATTTGAGTAACTTCCCTTTAAGTGATGGTAGGTCGTGCGATAGGTACGCTAATAATTTTCTGTCAACCTTAAAAGTGTCAAAACATCTTTGCAGAGTGACTATAAACTGTTAGTTAAGGGCTAATAAGTAATTAAATATCATTCATTGCTTTTGAGTCTATAATTGCAAATAAATTAAAAACACAGTTAAACTGGTATGTTTCTAAGTTTGAGTTTTCTTTCTACCAGATCATTCTAACATGTCGTTGACGAAAAGTCCGATGTGGAGCATTAGCTCTTTGACAGTGTCCTTTGACATAAACCCAGTCTCTTCTGGATTGAATGCTTTGTGCCTTTTCAATGTGTTGTAGTTGCTTAGAGTTGATTCTGCTGGCTAGACTGTACTGGTTAATAAACGATTTTGATTTTTTTGTTGTTGTTATGGGTCTTATGTTTGTGTGGCCTGCTGGTCAGGCAACACTTTTTTTTTAGGTTGATTTGTGTTTATGTAGGGCAATTGGCACTAAGTACTCATGTGAACATTGTTTTTGTTAAAAATCTCTATTGTGGCCTTTATTGTTACCGTGAAGCCACTCCTGGGCCTGTCTCTAGAGGTTTATTAGAGGAATCTGGCAAATAAAATGAGTCGTGTGTCTGCCTCTGTCTCCTCCTCTCACCACTCCCCCCTTTTATTTTTGATAATCAGTCCCCATAACCACGCAGCTCTACACCGATGGCTCCTTATTTCAGTTTGCCTAAAGCTGAGCAAGAGGTGGTAGTTTGAGATGAGGTTCCCTTTAGGAGCAGCAACATCCCAGCCAAGGTACAACTTGAGTTGGTGAACTCAGGAAAAATTACGACTTTCCAAGTCATATTTGGATTATTCTAAGATTTCAGTGCCAAATTTAAAATGACTGAAAATGTATTCTTTGCTGTGGAGCAAGTAGCATTTCTAAAACTTCAAATGGTATTATGGTAAATGTTACTTGCTATTAGAGTGAATAATGGATAATGTGAGAATAATTTTCTAAACAGTTTCTAGGAACTATAGACAATTCTTAGATCCTCCCCTTTCTTTTGCACATTCCTCTCTTGGTAAAATCTATAGTGGCTTTTTTTGGGGGGGATCTCCCCCTTGTTTCTTCTAAAGTTATCTTTTATTTTATTATGATATACTTTTATCATAGAATATCAGCATGCTTTCCACTCTTCCTCTCTGAAAGTAGCATTAGTAAGATAGAAGTAATAGGATTAGGTTGTGTGGAAGATGAGAGAAAGAAGATTTTGGTAGAGCGAGTGCCTATGTTTTGTTTACTCTACTCTTCATGTTTCAACTTGCCGTGTATTAATCTTAAATCTATGACTCTTGAAAAATCCCCAAATGATTTAAACTTAGCCTCTGCAGCCACGTCCATAAAGAGAAGTTAAGAATTGTATTCAGAGAATAGAGGTTATACAAAGATGGACATACCTTTTTTTTTCCCCCCAAATTCTTAGGTACAGAAGTAATTTCAGTGTTTGCGTTACTGTTGGAGATTCTAAAGCATTTCTTGAATGAAGAGCATGTACACTTCTCATTGTTATTGCACCTCTTTGCTTGATATTCCTGCTTGCGTAAAGTGTACTGTGGTGTAATTACAAAATTTTTATTCCTTCCAACAATTGGATTTTTCTCATCCCTATATATAACACTGTATTACAATTCATGAATGTGGCTGCCAAAAAATGAGTACGGAGGGGGGCGTTTAGCTGCTCGACGTTGTGAAGTGAATGTTCTGGTTAAGGGGATTTATGATGTACATTGAAATGGAAATGCTTTTGAACTTGGTTTTCAGTCTCAAATCATAATTTTTTGTTTTTAAGGACACTTTTAAAAGCAATTACAAAGAAAAATCTAAAATATCAAAATTCATTATTTTGTCAACTGTGTGTAAAGTATCTTGTGAGTTTTATAGATATTTTGGCTGTCTCGTGTTTCTTAAGTACAAATGTCTTTATAGAAAAATTCATTTCTCTGTGAAGAGTAGGAAGTATATTGTATACTGAACTAGTTCTTTGTGTTATTTTGATATTTAAAATAAATATAAAGTTCTTTGGTCCTAATAAAGCATATCTAGGTTTTATTGAACACATTTACCAGCATAGGAACGCAGTATTCTGCATGCCTCCTTAAAAATTGAATACAGGGGCCGACCTGGTAGGATAGTGGTTAAGTTCGCACACTCTGCTTTGGTGGCCTGGGATTTGTGGGTTCAGATCCCAGGCATGGGCCTACATACCGCTCACCAAGCTGTGCTGTGGCAGCATCCCACATACAAAATAGAGGAAGTTTGGCAGAGATGTTAGCTCAGCAACAATCTTCCTCAAGCAAAACGAGGGAGATTGGCAATATTAGCTCAGGGCCAGTCTTCCTCACAAAAAAAAATTAAAATTTGCAAAGATCATGAACAAATGGAAAACCAAGTGTCTTGGGGCACATTTATTTAAGTTTTATTTATTTCTCATAAGCTAGATACTATTTTGAAATATATATTAAATGTATAACTCATTAAACTATTTAATGACTTTTAAATGGTTAATATAAATTCAAATATTAATAGTGACTATTGTCCTTGAAGTAGTCATATGCTGTTTTTTGGAGAAAAGTGAAGTGTAGCAAAAGTCCATTAATGAGTTGTTCCATATTATAGTGAGAAGGACCACTCTTACCTCGACTCCTACCCCATTCCCAAAACTATACATTCCGGTCTGTTGCTGGTTTAGGCAGAAACTATGTTATAGGATGGTACCCCAACCTTGCAAGCTGTTGTCTCCTTCTGGCACCATAACTGAGCCTTCCACAGGCAGCTGCTTCTGAGTATTAGAAGACTAGTAAATTCTATGGACACGAGCCCATTTCTGCAAAATAAATCCCATTGGAGGCAATGTTGTGTGGGATACTTAATTATCTATTGCTGTGTAACAAATTATACCAAATTTTATGGATTAAAACAATAGACATTACCTCGCAGTTTCTGTAGGTCCGGGATCCAGGCGTGGCTTAGCTGAGTGGTTCTGGCTCAGGATCTCTCAGGAGGTTGAAGTCAAACTGTTCATCAGAGCTGCAGTCGCCAGAAGCTTGAGTGGAGAAGGCTTTACCTCCAAGCTCACTTGGAGGGCTGCCGGCCTCAGCTCCTCACCAGATGGCCTCGCTACTGGGCTGCTAGTGATAAACAGCTGGCTTCCCCTCAAGAAAAAAAAAAAAAAGAGTGAGAATATACCCAGGATTTAAGTTGCAGACTTTTTATAACCTAATCTAGGAAGTGATATTGTATGACTTCTTTGATTGTGAATGACTAAGTCCATACCCCTCAAGGGACACAAATTAAACTTCCCTTCTTGAAGAGAGGAGTAGTAAAGAATTTGGGGACATATTTTGAGAATCATCACAGACTCATTGGTTCTAGATAAAGCATTCTATAAGTCCATAGATAGTGGGGCAGGTACAGCAATCTATACCCAGAAAATGCATCTATCCCAGAGAGAAAAATACCACCTCTTCCATGCTGGAAAGGGTTACAAGTGACCAACATGCCACAGGTTGCTCGTTGGTCCCACTGAGAATGAGTCATACTGGGCGTCAGCATTGGCCTCTGTTAGCAGACTGGGCACTCAGCAGTGGTACGTCACATCAGCCTTGAGAAGGGGGAGACTGTGTTTAAGATCTTTCGTAGCCTCCAGCCCTGCTGCCATGGCCACTTTGCACATGGGTGAACTAAGCAAGGAATGGGGTCCCTGAAGAAAGAGGCTGATGTCCAACAGGCCAAAGGTTTTCTTGTTTACCCGATTTTTGAGTTCCTTCTTTGCCACGTCTGCTTTCGGATGGGTATTTACATAGGACACAAGTTTCTTCCTATACCTATGTTGAGAGCCCCTGTTACATACCTCTTTGCCCCACACCTGATCGTCACCAATTTTCCATTTTGGTTTTCCCAAAGCTTTGACCAGCTGGCCAACCCGTTAGCCATTGCCCATAAATCAGCATAGAGCTTTCCCTTAGGTCATGCCTTCTTCCTTATGAAGTGGACTACTAGCTGTACCATCCAAAATTCTGCTCATTGAGAGTGCTTCCCATCTATCCTTGAGGGAAGGCTGTAATGTAGCTGTGTTCACATCTGGCCCACCATACAGGTCCATCCATAAACCAGGCTTTTTATTCCTTTATGCAGTGGTCATAAGGAAATCCCTAATTTTCCCAAGGTGTAGTTTGAGAGAGGGGCAGCAAAATGGCAGTAGGAGATATTACAGGAATCTGAGTCATCTGTGCAGCTGACTTGTGAATTCCTGGCCTGCCCAAGCCCTCGGCTTGTATATGCCACTTTTATTTGATAATGGACTGTTGCTTGTCACATTCCGTTTTATGGTTCTTTGGATTAGACCCCTAGTCAGCAAACTTCTTTGTAAAGGGACAGATGCTGAATATTATAGGCTTTGCAGGCCATCTGATTTCTGTCACAACTATTCAACTCTGCCATTGTATTATGAAAGCAGTCATAGATAATAGGTAAATGGGTGGGTGTAGCTGCGTTCCAATAAAACTTTATTTGCAACAAAACAGCCTATGAGTGTTTTGGCCCTCAAGACATAGTTTGCTGATTCCTGAATTAGATAATTGTTGATGACGGGCAGTTGATGACGGGTCACACATCCTATGATCAGGCATTCAGTCTCTACCAGGACCCAACAGCTAAACTAGGAGCTGCTTTTCAAATGGTGGATGCTTGTCTGCAGAGGAAGGCAAAGCCTTATTCCCAAGCCTGGAATTTTGTGCTGTGATGCTTCTCTTGAAACTTTCTGGGGCTTCTATTCCACACCTCTGATTCTCCGATTGCCATGGACACTTGAGTCTTTTAGGCTATATGGCATAAGCAGCAGGGCAGCACACATGCTCTGGGCCCCACCAAAATATGTCAGTCTTACAGGTTACTAGGTAAATGGATTGGAGAGACATACCCTTAATAAGGTATGTGTTGCCTCCAAAGTCTAAAGAGGCCTTCCCTCCAAATGGTACAAAGTACAGCAAGTTAGAAGGGATACCATGACATTTCTCAGACCCTTGGCTCCTTGAAAACTTTATCAATGTGGCAGAACCCTGAACTTTGTCACGCTTTCTCTCCTACTTTCTGGCTTACGTTTGTTTTCCTACTGGCATCTGGAATGCTTGCTGCTGTTAGAGAGGCAACTCACCATGGACCCTGAAGCCCTGTGCATTCTGCTGGTTGCGCCAAGAATGCAAGGCCCTGACTAATCTTACCCAGGTCATTTCTCAGGATTGTGTCTGCAGCCAGCAGTCTTGAAGGATGAGGTGAAGTCTCCTTGCCCAAACATGGTTTATGAAAGTGGTTGAATCTCCAGTTCAGTGTTCTCCTCTTGTGATGCAACCCACTGGGTGGCCAGGCATCCAACATGGGCCCTTTCTATTGCCCCCATGAAACTTGGGGAGCAGGGGAAATCAATGTGAATGAATATGCTGACATTCTGGCTACTGCTTTTTCCATGAGTAATAAAGTCGTTAGTCTTTGACCCTGGAGAATTGTATCTTCTGCCCGCATTTATGAAACTGGCAAGCTAGGTGGGGTGGAATCTCAGACCCTCACAATTCTTGACAGCTATTTCTTGCTCATCAGATTTCGTTAGCAAATGTCATCAATATAGTGAACGAGTGTGATATTTTGAGAGACATCAGGAAGATCCCAGTGCCTCTGGACAATATTACAGCTTAGGCAGGAGACTTGATCAGCCCTGAGGCCAGACAGTAATGCTGTGGTATTGCCGCAATACATACATACAAACGGCTCCAGTTTTTCCATACTAGATGAATGGGGAGAAACTAGAAAAATACATTCGCCAGGTCAGTAGTTGCATACCAGCCAGCGAAGGTGTGTTGATTTGTATATAAAGATAACACAGCTGAAACTGCAGCAGTAATTGACATCATCACCTAATTGACATAATTAATCTACCGTCATTCTCCAGGACAAATCTGGCTTTTGCACTGACCAACCAACCAACTGTGCGAGGTAAGTGGGTAGATGGATGTAATCACTTTTCCTACGTCTCTCAGTAATCTCAGAATTGGAGGGGTGGGGAAGAGGGCATTTTCAGGGTCTCCCACTTGACCCTTTCTATCATAATAGCCCTCACTTCTTGAATCTGGGAACCAGTGTGAGAATCCTGTTGTTAAGTATTCCTATTTTGTATCCTGGAACTGGATGGATCCCACTGGACACTCGGTGAGACAGATTCAGCCCTGGACGTCATGTATCACCTGATCTCCAGATCTCCAGAAGCTCTCACTATGGCTGGTGATCCACGATGGCATTTCAGGTTTCTGGAGTGTAGCAGAAAGGCAGAGCCATTATCTAATAACCCCTGGGAGGTCTGATTATTCCCCTGCCTCTAATCCATAGTCACATTGGTAAATGACTGCAGTTCCCTCTGGGGAAAGTTTGCAGGAAGATTTATGGTACGTATTTGTATTCATGTTGCAGAATCCTTTCTAATAGGGCCAAGACTTTTCTTGGTCAAGGGGATTTAGGTCTGGGAACTAGGCAAGAAGCAATATCTACAACATTGCCCTCAGGTTTCTGCTTTGCAGATCTAGAATTTTTTCCACTATACAACTACCAAAATAATTGGCAATTATTGAAAATACCAGAGCATTATAAATCTGACACTTTGGAAGCTACAGGAAATCAACTTGGTGATGCAGCTACTAAGCAGGGAGCTTTAAAAACTTATCCAGCCTCAAGAATGCCCACTGCTCTCTGTTAACCCTGCTAACCCAGGGAAAGATTTCCCTCTACAGGCTCAAGAAATCACCATAGAAGAAGAGAAACAAAAATGGCAACAAAAAAGGGGAATTTTTCACCATGCCACACACATGCAGTTTAGACCTGGTAAAATCTATAGTACCTGTTGGAGTACAATTGCTGTTACTCCAACATGTATGTCATTTAACTCATTGGGCACCTGAAAAGATGATTTTATGGGGAAAACAGTGTTTTTGGAAACTCTCTCCCACAGTGGCTCATAAAGCATATGCTTGTTGTACTATCTGTCCT